GACCCGGGCATTGGTACTGCTGCGTCAGGTGCCAGTGAGGCTGCTGCTCTAGGTGCCAGTGCGTCTGTGCTCTCGGGTACTAGTGAGTCTGCACTCTCAGGTACTGTGTCGGCTTCGGCCTCTCACACCTTCACCCTTGACTCTTGGGCGTCTCGCTCCTTCTTTCGGGACCGCACCACTCTCACGCCGCTTAGTCGGCCGGTTGCGGTGTCCCTGGCTGACCCCTCTGGGGGTCCTGTCCTGTCTCGTTTCTCCACAGTCCTCCCGTGTCCGGCGGCTCCCTCTGGCACCGTGACTGGTCTTGACCTCCCCTCGTTCTCTACGAACCTGGTGAGTGGTGCTGACCTACAGGATGTGGGTGTCCACCAGTTCACTCCTGCTCGTCAGCGGGTGACACACTGCACAGAGGCTAGCACAGGTCGCCACCTGGCTACGTTTACACGTCGGCCAGGGTCGAGCCTGTACACTCTGACCATTGCTTCTCCTCCAGGTGCTGAGTCTGGTAGAGTCCCTTCGTCTGGTCAAGTGTTTGCTGCAGCGTCCAGGTCTGGTCCTGAGTCTGCCCCCTGTTCGTGTCGCCGTCTGTCTCACGAGACCCTCCTCTGGCACCACCGCCTTGGCCACCCCTCTCTGCTTCGGCTCAGAGGCATGGCCTCCCGTCTTCTTGTGTCTGGTCTCCCCCGGTCCCTCCATCCCCTTCCTCAGGGCCCTGGCCCTGCCTGTGTCCCCTGTGTCGAGGGGCGCGAGCGTGCTGCCCCTCACTCCTCCCAGTTTCCTCCGACAGAGGCTCCGTTGCAGACGCTTCACATGGACGTGTGGGGCCCTGCCCGCATCCGTGGACTCGGTCACGAGCGCTACTTCCTGTTGGTGGTTGACGACTACTCGCGTTACACCACAGTCTTCCCCTTGCGCAGCAAGGGTGATGTCACTGAGGTGCTGATCGACTGGATCCGCGCAGCTCGTCTCCAGCTCAGGCAGAGCTTTGGCTCGGACTTTCTTGTGTTGCGTCTGCACTCGGACAGAGGCGGAGAGTTCTCCTCTGGCCTTCTGCGTGCCTTCTGTCTTGCGCTAGGCATCGGCCAGACCTTCACGCTTCCGGACTCACCGCAGCAAAATGGGATTGCAGAGCGCCGCATTGGCATGGTCATGGACGTCGCTCGTACGTCTATGATGCATGCGGCTGCCCCCCATTTTCTGTGGCCGTTTGCGGTTCGGTACGCGGCGCATCAGATCAACCTCCACCCCATGGTCTCCAGGCTGGAGACCTCCCCAGCCCTGCTGTGGACAGGGAAGGTTGGCAATGCGTCGGCGTTCCGGGTCTGGGGATCTCGGGCGTTTGCCCGTGACTTGTCTGCGGACAAGCTATCCCCTCGCGCTGCTCCCTGCGTCTTCCTGGGGTTCCCCCCCGACGCCCCTGGGTGGCAGTTCTACCACCCCACCTCTCGACGTGTTCTGTCCTCCCAGGACGTCACGTTTGACGAGTCGGTACCCTAATACCGCCTCTTCCCCTACCGCACTCCGTCCCTCCCCCCGCCCCCGCTCTTCTTGGTACCAGGTCCCCCCCGGGTAGACCCCCTTCCCCCTCAGGGTCCTGCCTCTTCAGATGTGTCCCAGGTAGACGCGGTCGAGCCTGTCGAGGTCACTTGTGACTCTGGTGCTGCTGCGGGAGCTGAGCCTGGGGGTGCTGGGACTGGAGGTGCTATGCCTGGGGGTGCTGAGCCTGGGGGTGCGGAGTCTGGGGGTGCTGAGCCTGGGGGTGCTGAGCCTGGGGGTGCTGAGTCTGCGGGTGCTGAGCCTGGGGGTGCTGAGCCTGGGGGTGCTGAGACTGGGGGTGCTCTGCCTGGAGGTGCTTTGCCTGAGGGTGCTGAGCCTGTAGGTTCTTCGCTTGGAGGTTCTCCGCCTGGAGGTGCTTCGTCTCGCCGAGAGCCACTCTCCCCACAGGAGCTGCGTGAGTGGTTTGCCCGGCGCTGGAGGCGTGCTGCTGGTGCTGGAGGTTCTTCGGCTGCAGAGGGTGCTGCTGCCACGCGTCCCAGAGGTGCTTGTGCTGTGGGTGCTGGAGCTGCTGGGCCTGAGGGTTCTCTTGGAGCTGGTGCTGCTGAGGGTGTTGACGCTGAGACTACTGCTAGCGGTCCGACTGGCGGTGCTCCTGGTGCTGCTGGGGGTTCTGGAGCTACTGGAGGTGCTGCTGGAGGTGCTGCTGGAGGTGCTGCTGGAGCGGGTACTCCTGCTGGGGGTACTGGTGCTGTCCCTGCTGTTTCTGGCGTCGCCACGCGGCCCCGACCGTACTTCGTTCCGCTCCTGCAGCAGGTTCTTGGTCTTACACCTTCTCGTGGTCCTCCTCCTCCTCCCTTAGAGGGTCCACAGCCTGTCCAGTCCCAGTCACAGCTATAGCCTGCTTCCCCTTTGCCTGTTCCTTCTCCCTACGCTGGTCCGACTGGAGGTCTTACTGAGCGTCGTGAGCCTGCGTCTCGTCCTACGTCGCCTGTTCGTCCTGCACGCACTAGTGGTCGCGGTTCGCGTCAGCGTCCTCCTCCTGTCCCTGGCACGCACCGGATGTCTCTGCGTCCGTCCACTGCTCCTCTACGTGCCCCTTTGCCATCTCCTCCTTCTTCCTCTCTTCCTGCTCTTGCCGAACCGGAGTCGGACTCTCTTCGTGCTGCTAGTCCTTCTGTCATGCGTCTCCTTGCTACTGCTGTCACTGACCCTTCTTTCGAGTCTTCTGCTGCGTCTGCCCTTGTCACTGAGCTCGTCGACTTTGCTGCGCGCTGTCGTCTAGACTACGCTGCTAGTCTTGTCGCTGAGTCTGAGTCTGCCTGTCCTCCGTCCGTCGGGGGTGAGTGTGCTCTTGGCACGGCCGTCCTTGAGGACAGGCAGGAGGAGTTCCAGTGTCTGGCCGCCGCTTCACCTCATCTCGCGTCTGTACTACTCGCCCCTGAGGGAGATCTGGATGCACTTGACATCCCGACTCCGCGCTCTTACGCGGAGGCGATAGAGGGTCCCTACTCCTCTAAGTGGCAGGCAGCTATGGATGCAGAGATGGCTTCCTGGAAGTCCACAGGCACCTACGTTGACGCTGTTCCCCCTCCTGGGGCGAACATAGTCAGTGGCATGTGAATTTTCAGGGTGAAGCGGCCGCCGGGTTCTCCGCCTGTCTTCAAGGCGCGTTACGTGCCTCGTGGCTTCAGTCAGCGGCAAGGAGTTGACTACTTTCAGACTTCTCCCCCACCCCGAAGATGACCACTCTTCGGGTACTGCTGCACGTTGCTGCTCACCGTGACTACGAGCTGCACTCTCTCGACTTCAGCACTGCTTTCTTGTAGGGCAGCCTGCACGAGGAGATCTGGCTGCGTCGCCCGCCTGACTTCACTGGTTCTTTCCCTCCTGGTACCCAGTGGAGTCTCCGGCGTCCAGTCTACGGTCTCCGCCAGGCGCCACGTGAGTGGCACGACACACTGAGGACTACGCTGGCGGCACTTGGGTTTGCTCCTTCTACTGCCGACCCGTCGCTGTTTCTGCGCACCGACACCTCTCTGCCGCCGTTCTACATCCTCGTGTACGTCGACGACTTGGTCTTTGCCACATCTGACACTGCTGGACTCGCCCACGTGAAGTCCGAGCTGCAGAAGAGACACACGTGCACTGACCTGGTTGAACTGCGCAGCTACCTTGGCTTGCAGATAACCCGGGACAGAGCACGCCACACCATTACCCTGACTCAGTCACACATGGTGCAGCAGGTCCTTCAGCGCTTCGGCTTCACGTACTCCTCGCCTCAGGCCACTCCTCTGCCTACTCGCCACTCGCTCTCAGCTCTGCCTTCGGATGAGTCCGTAGAGTCGAGTGGTCCATATGCAGAGCTTGTTGGCTGCCTCATGTACCTGATGACCTGCACACGACCTGACCTTGCATACCCTCTTAGCATTCTCGCACGCTATGTTGCTCCTGGGAGACACCGACCAGAGCACATGGCTGCAGCGAAGAGGGTGTTGCGCTACTTGTGCAGTACGTCGGGCATGGGGCTAGTGCTTGGAGGGCGCAGTCCAGTGGTCCTCACTGGGCACGCGGACGCTTCTTGGGCTGACGACCAGGCTACGCAGCGGTCGTCACAGGGTTACACCTTCAGCCTTGGTTCCGGCTCTGTTTCGTGGGGGGCTACTCGCTCGTCTTCTGTTCTCGGCTCCAGTTGTGAGGCTGAGATCTACGCCGGGGCTATGGCTGCTCAGGAGCTTCGCTGGCTCACCTACCTGCTGACCGACCTTGGAGAGCCGCCTCGTTCTCCTCCAGTCCCGTACGTAGACAACAAGGCCATGCTGGCCTTGTGTCGAGAGCAGCGACTGGAGCACAGGACAAAGCACATTGCTCTCCGCTACTTTCTTGCTCGTGAGCTACAGCAGCGTGGACAGCTGCGACTTGCGTACGTGGCCTCTGAGGCCAACACTGCTGATGTCTTCACCAAGGCACTTGCGCCTTGTGATCATCAGCGTTGCTGCACGCAGCTGGGTCTTGTGCCTGTCTTGCCTCACTTGCTCACTTCTTGACCTTGCTTGTACCTTGACCTATATATACTCTTGCTCTTGCTTGCTTGACTCTTGTATATCTCTATATATGATCTTGCATGTGAACTGGCCTTGTGGCCCTTGAACTTGTGCTCGGAATGTGTGGTGACTTTGTGATCCACCCTGAGCTTTGCTTTGCTTTGCTTGACTGGTCTTGTGACCCCTTGTTCTCCCCCACTTTGCCTATGGGGGTGTGTCATAATATTATAGCTTACTTGTTTGTGTAGGCTATAGTGGGGTATCCCATAGGGGGTACAACCCAACTAGGGTTTCCTATTTGTACTCACTTCATTCATAGTTCATTTATTCTCGTTCACTTCTTCTCATGACTTGCTGCCACGTATCCGTCTCCTCCAGTCACACGGCATTTCTAATGCTGACATCGTGCACATCATTGTAAGAAGTCCAGGTTCGCTCCGATCCTCCCTGCCACAGATTCAGAATATGCTCGAGTTTCTTTTAGCTAAAGGAGTTCGTCGAAGCAGATTGGGCTCGGTGCTTCAACGTGGACGCAACTTACTCTGCCGTGATGCTCGTTCAACAAACATGGACATTCTGGTGGAGAGAGCAGGGGTTCCTGTAGACAAGCTGGGTGTGATTATAGAGAGATGTCCGACCATCTTGAGTCGGAGAAAAGAGGCGGTGAATTTACAGCTTGAGACGTTATCATCTTTTTCTGAAGCGAGATATGGAGGGAAGGTAGAAGCAGATAGCACCAGCACAAGCCTCCTGCAGCAGCAACAAGATGAGCTGCATACCTTGACTTCCTCAGACACCCCCTTCATTTCCTCTATGCTTTGGCGGGCCCCCACCATCCTCACTCTATCCACAGAAACTCTTTTAGCTAAGCTCCAGTTCTTTGTCGATCTGGAGGGTGAGGAGGCAGCAGGAAGAGTGGTGAGGATTTACCCGTCGGTTCTGCAACTTTCGAAGAAGAACGTGCAAGGCAAGCTGGCGCTATTGGCTGAGTTGGTTGGCGGAGAGAATGCTGTGCGGGTGGTGGCACGATTTCCTTTGCTAATAACTTCTAGTGAAGATGGCATGAAGGAAATACATAGAGAGCTTGTGCGTGAAGTGGAAGTGGCGTTGGAGAGCAGTGGGGAAGAGGGAAATGGGACGCAAGGGTTGGGCGAAGGTGATAGAGATGATTGTTTGGGAGGGAAAATTGATTCCCAGGCACTAAGTGTTGAGAGATGCAGGGCTCGTCGGTTGGTGGTGGATTTGGTTTTGAGGTTCCCGCAGTCTATCTATTACAGTTGGAAAGCGAACCTGAAGCCCAAGCTGGAATACTTAAAATGGGATATGGGCCTCTCTATAATGGAGGTGCTTGCATACCCTAAGGTTCTTGGGTTGAGTTTGGATCAGCGAATCAGACCACGACATGTGGCGCTGGTGCAAATGGGCTATGCAGTTGTGCCACACGGGATGGTTAGTCGGACGAGTGGAGGCAAGAGGAATGTTTCTATCAAAGCTGGGGAACAGAGGAGCAAGCTGGGTTCTGTTTGCTCCTCACTTTCTGATGAAGTGGAGGGAGTGGGGGCAGTTGAACGTGGAGTGGGAGAAAGAAACAGCGAAAAAGCCGGTGATAGACAAGAGGAGCAATGCAAAGGGGAGGATTGTGGTAGTGGACTCCAAGCAATGATCCAGTATTGTCGAGGCAATGACGAGCCAGGGGGGAGAGCTGTTGCAGAGCAGCAGCTTGTGAACTTAGATGCGGCAAAGAAAAAGGTTTGCTTGCACCAGTTTCTTCAATGTACAGACAAGAAGTTTGAGGAGAAATTTGGGGTCAATCTGTAGGATTTGTATTGAGATACCGGTAGCGGTTTGTACAATCTTTTTTCTTGATCCTCTCTGAAATGTCCCAAAGCTTATTAACATGTCATCAGGGTCCAAGGCAGCCTCTTGCCTCTGTCGTGTGGACTGACAAGTGCAGTAGCCATAACAACAGTAGCAAATGTTGAATGGTTTTATGCAGTATTACAGTGTATCTGAGAGCCAGCGTCAGATCAGATTGTGTTGGGTCTTGATAGCTTTACCGCCCTTGTGCCCTGGTCAACCTAGAGTAGACCTTGTTTTTGATGATTCCATGAGAGAACACCATTACAACTTTACTGTAGATTCCTTTTACCAGGTATTTTTGCCATGTATGCTCTTACTAAAATAGGGTGGGCAACACTTTACAATGCACATCACGATTCACGAAAACCCATTATCGAGGCACCAAGCTGTTGTTCGGATATGGCGGACGCACGCAGCAGCAGAGTTGTGTCAGGACAGCGAATTAAAATACCCCATGCGCCGAATAGCTTCAGCGTGCAGAATTTCTGGTCGCCGTCGCTGACCGAGCAGGCTTTGCCAGCGTGAATTAGGACGGGAGTAAGCGCGTGGTGCAGTTGAGTTACGGTAATGAGGCGTGGTGTGGCATCGGTAGCAGCAGTTTTGCAAAAAATATATCGACAATTGCTTGAACGATTCTTTTGGTAGTAGGTCCTCATACTTTCTGTGGAGCAGTATGCGAAAGCCGCGTCTGGCGAAAAATGACGCCCGCGAAGGAATTTATCTTGAGCGACTCTTCTGATACTAGCCGAGCGACCTTATGCGACGAATCCAGGGTCGCATGAACGAAAATTTCCAAGCATGTGGAGCCGTAAGCGAAAGCCGCGTTTGGCGAAGATCGAAGACGAGTTTCCGTCTGGCGAAGGAGATCGAAGCATCCAGGAAACCGGCCCGACAGTGACGTCATCACTAGATGGATCGCCATCGACGTTATTTGCAACAGCCACAGCAGCATCATCATCAGCAGCAGCGGTACCAGCAGCAGCAGCGGTACCAGCCGCGACCGTGGCTGAGAGAGCAGACGATGGTTCTGAACCCGCGGAACGAGCTACTGCTACCGATGACGACAATCCAAGGCTCAGATCCACAACTATAGGAACTGGTAGCACTGTTGAAACGAACACTGGGGGTCTGGACGGTTTTGGTGGGAGTAATAACGCCACGGCTCTAGAGGAGGAGTTTGAGAATAGCAGCAGCAGGACGTTCTTAGATTTTAGAACTGGCGAAGGGGGTGGAAGCGAGCAGGAGCATGAACCAGGACCCTCTTTCGCTGCTGCTGCTGTTGGTGATGATGCTGCTGCTGCTGCTGTTGGTGATGATGCTGCTGCTGCTGCTGTTGGTGCTGGCGCTGCTTTCGAATCTTTAACAGAAACCGTTCGTTACGTTCCCCTGGCTTTTGATATAGTCACCTCCGGTTTAGAAGACGAGATCAGCTTGCTGGAGCGTCTAGTGGCGAACCATTTGATATTGTCACAATTCGAGCTCGCCAGAGCGGCTGTCAGGGACCTTGCACGGCTCAGCCCCTCCCGTGCGATTTCTCTGCTGAGGAATGTGATTGTAACGGGGGGAGAGATCTCCGGGGCTGTGTGGTCGGTATCTGTACCGTCTGCCGCCCATCTGACGTGGCTGTGCGTTGGGGAATACCGAGAGCTGTGTAAGGTGCAGGGAGTGAGGGGAGATAGGGGAGAGAGGGGAGAGAGAGGCGATTGGGTGAGCGGAGTGAGGGAAGAGAGGGGTGACTGGGTGAGGGGAGCAGAGAGAGGAGGCTCTGAAAGAGGTGATTGGACGGCTGCTGCTGCAGCTGATCAGGAGGGACAGGGAGAGGAACAGGAGGGGGAGGAGGAGGTAGGACACGGGGATAGGATGGGGGAAGAGGAGGAGGAACGAGAGGAGCGAGGAGGGGGGGACACAGGCGAGGGTTTGGAGGAGGAGAGGGTGATGGTGGATGAAGCGGAATTTGACCTGTATCTGGCCCAGCTCTCACTCAAGGTGCATGAATCTGCATTCTCACAAAGAGTGGATCGTCCTGTATCGCGTACAGGCGAGCAGGAGGACTTAGCTGGAGCAGGTAGAGGAGTGCAGGAGCGAGGAGAGGAGGATTTGAGAAGAGGGGAGGAGATTCGCGCAGCAGTCACACTGCTTCATGACCGATCGGCCTGGGGCCTTCCCTGTAAACCCCTGGTTGTGGGGAGTAGGCCTAGTGCTAGTGACATAGGGAAAGAGGCGAAAGAGGCAGTGGTGGTAGGGTCGGCAGTGGAAACTGAGTCTGTAAGGTCAGCAGTGGCTGAAGAGAGGGAGGAAGAGGCAACAGCGGAGCAGGGTCAAGGCCATGTTGAATCAATCATCCCTGATGCGACATCTGTCGGCGTTTCATTGGCTGTTGGAGAATACCCAGAGATCCTGGACGAGCTTTCCAGGAACGTTCTTCGCCAGAGGAGGATGACGGCGGCAGCGTCGCGAAGAGAGAGACTTGAAAGTGAGGGTAATTTACCCTTACAAACATGGCCACCAGATGTGCCGGTTGTGAGATGGGTGCAGGAGGCCCATCTGGGGGCGGTGGCATCTCTGCTGGAGGCGGGGGACGTGAAGGGAGCAGCGGGCCGTCTGCGGTACCTGAACGTGGAGTATGGGGCTGTGGAGGAGGAACGATACAGGTGAGTACTGAGCAGGGCTGAGGCTTCAAAACGCGGAAGGGAAGAGCACGGGGCTCTGATGGAGGAGGACGCACACTGCATAAACATTGAGTGATAGAAGTTGAGTTTTGAGACGTCTCAATACTCAACTTCTATCACGATTAGGACGCACAGTGCATGGACATGCCTTTTAAGGGTGAGCATCCGAGCGTTGAGCTAAAATGCCAACTGTTTTCGACTCTACTTCCTCATTTTTTTTTCTTTTTTTTTGCCCTTGGCAGATCTGCCCTGCACCAGTTGGTCCTTGCACTGCGGCCTCAGGTGCCCCAACAAGCGCCGTCCAGCAGTCCTGTTTGGACGGCAGTGAGGAAGGAAGAGACAATAATTGCCGTCCAGGAGCTGCTAGCGTCCGGTTCGGTCCACCTGATCAGGCTGTTTCAGGTGCTGATGGCTTGGGGGCATGATGGTAGTGTGGATGCGATGAAGTGTATGTGATGGGTAGTATCGCTTGGGGGTGTGATGACACAGGGTTATGATGGAATAGAGTTTCTGTAACAGCGTTCTTCCATGCCCTCACTGAGTATGGCTTGCTCTGATGTTCACATGTCCCTTTTATCCCGCCTTTCTCCTCCCCCTCTCTTCTCATCCAGGCTGTATGGGACGATCACATTCGCAGCGAGTCCCAGAAATCTGCCCTCCTCTCCTCCATCGCCCCACCGTTGGAGGCCCTACACGCCCTGCTGCTGGCACACGTGCAAGCTGGCAGCAACGACCCTGAAGCTGAGGATAATCAAGCAGAAAAGAATCAAGCAGAGGCCAAACCAGAAGCGATTGAAGTGGAGGGAAAACTTGAAGATGAAGCAGCGATACCCAAAGAAACGAATGGAGCAACTGAAGTGGAGGGCGAGAGGGGGGGAGAGCCTATGGAGGAAGGAGAACAGATGATGGGGGAGAAGGGAGGTGGTGGCGAGGATTGGAGGAGAGAGGGCGTGAGAGGAGAAGGTGTGAGGAGGGGGAGTGTGGAGGAGAGGTGTGTGTGGGAACTGGTGGAGCATGCGAGGGTGGAGAGGCAGGTGGTGGTTGGGAGTGTGCTGGAGGGAGCTTTGGCTGCTGTGCACGCAGGGCAGTTCAGCAAAGCAAACCATGTGAGTCTTTCAGCTTAGCTCAGATGCTCCGTGCCCCAACGAAACCCCTTCTCTTGTCATGCAAGCAACCACTGGTTCACACCCATATGTTGACCTCCTTATAAACCTCTCGTTTTTTTTTTTTCAGTTCGCAAGGGTTTTTGGGTTCAGGGTATCGGGTTTAGGGCTGGTCAACTCCCGTTTCTAGACCCAGCTCTCATTCTGGATGTGCGTGTTGGTTTTGGCTTTAGGTTCTCACCATCTTCCTCACCTCTCCCAACCCCCATTCCCCTCCCTCCCTACAGATCCTCCGACTGTGTCCCCCTCTCCGCCCTCTCACCACATTAATCGCCTGGGACCTCATAGGGCCCTCCCACCCCGCCACGCGCCTGCGTCTCCTGTGGGCTCTCTGGCCCCTCCAGTCCTCCTGTGCCCTGCTGCCTCGTGCTCCATCCGTTTCCCCCTCTTTCCTCTCTCCACCCTCCCTCCCGGTTGTGCAGATACTTCGCTTATGCCCCCCTCTCCGTCCCCTCACCACATTAATCGCATGGGACCTCATAGGCCCCTCGCACCCTGCCGCCCGCCTGCGACTCCTCTGGGCTCTATGGCCCCTCCAGTCCTCCCGTGCCCCTCACGATCCTGCTCATGCCCGTGTTTCTCTCCCCGTCCCCTCCTCCTCTCCATTTTTCCTTGCAGATCCTCCGTCTGTGTCCCCCTCTCCGGCCCCTCACCACACTCATAGCCTGGGACCTCATAGGGCCGTCCCACCCCACCACCCGCCTGCTCATGCTTATTTATCTTCTCCCTTCTTACCGCTCTCTCTCCCTTCTGCAGATCCTCAGCTTGTGCTCCCCTCTCCGTCCCCTCACCACACTCATCGCCTGGGACCTCATAGGCCCTTCCCACCCCGCCATCCGCCTGCGCCTGCTCTGGGCTCTCTGGCCTCATGAGTCTGCCCGTGCCCTGCTGCCCCATGAAGGTGCTAACACATCCCTGCTGCCGCATGAGTCTGCCCGTGCCCTGCTGCTGCCCCAAGAATCCGCCCATTCCCTGCTGCCAAACAAGCCTCTCGCTGACAACCCCTGGTCGTCGCAGCTGCTGCTGCAGCATGCTGGCGTGTGCTGCTCCCACCTCGTCTACCACACACACCTGGCCTTCCTCCTTGCTGCTCGCCATGCTGCGTTTCACCTGCAGCAGCAGCAGCAGCAGCAACAGCCTGGCACTGACCACCACCCGCAGCATCGGGCACAGCAACAGCAGGAGCTGCAGCTGCATGCCTCCACCACTGCAGCACGGTGGAGCCCTAAGGATGAGACCACACGTGTGTTGAGTCCCAAGGCAGTGGCTAGCATGGTGCGAGCAGCCGACCCGTTTGTTGCACGGCTGGCTATGGAGCTGCTGCAGGTGCAGCCGCCCCTGCACGTGCTGCTGTCTCTGGGCACCCACTGCTTCCACCCGGAAGAAGTCATTGAATTGCTCAAGGCTCAGCCTGGAGCTGGAGGCAACGTGCTGGGTGGGGCATCTGACAGGTGAGAGGTGGAGCAGTATGGTATGGTGCGAGCGAATCCGTTCAGGTGCAGCCGCCCCTGCATGTGCTGCTCTCTCTCGGTGCCCACTGTTTCTGCGCGGGAGAAATCATTCAGGTGCTGCAGGCCCGCCCAGCCTGGAGCTTGAGGTGGAGGCAACGTGCTGGGTGGGGCATCTGACAGGTGAGAGAGAGGTGGGCCTGCATGGTACGAGGCGAGGGGAGCAGCTGATGCCCATTTGTTGCACGCCTGGCGTTCGAGATGCTGCTGGTGCAGCAGCCCCTGCTCATGCTGTTGATTTTGGGGAGATTTTTCATGTGCTGTTTGGCGCCCAAGGCAGCAGAGACTGGTATGACATGGCAGGGAGAGGCAGAAAAAGACGACGTTGTTGGGTTGGGTCAGACAGGGAGAACAGGTTCCTCCCTCCTTCTGTGTGCTCCTCCCTCCTCCCTCCTCCCTCCTCCCTCCTCCCTCCTCCCTCCTCCCTCCTCCCTCCTCCCTCCTCCCTCCTCCCTCCTCCCTCCTCCCTCCTCCCTCCTCCCTCCTCCCTCCTCCCTCCTCCCTCCTCCCTCCTCCCTCCTCCCTGCTCCCTCCTCCCTGCTCCCTTCTCCTGCTCGCTGCTCCCTGCGCCATGCTCCCTGCACTCTCTCCGCAGGGACTGGGACGTGGAGCTTCTTCACATGCTGTTTGCCGCGCAGGCAGCAGAGACTGCCGTGCATGCCATGGCAGGGAGCGGCAGGGGAAGAGACGGAATGGGAGAGGGAGCAGCAGAGGCAATGAGGGCGGTGGAGTCGTTCGAGCATCATGCAGCCCGTGTCACCACTGCTGCCCGCAAGGTGAGGCATTGCTTTCCCAGAGGTATAGGAGAGGGGTTTTGAATGCCTAAGTTGGAAAAAACGCGTTTCGCGTTTAGTACGCTTTCGTATAAACGCTAGCGTCTAAACGCAAAACGCTGGCCGGGAGGGGTCTGGTACGCACAAGAATCCGCTTGCCCGTGCAGGAAAAACATTTCCCCCGGGCAGGTTAGATGCCAGGCCAAGAGATGGAAACTGGAGCTGCTGTAGTAGTCCACTACCTAATTGCTGCTTTAGTAGGTCATCGCCGCAAGTGAAATAAGAAGGGGAGGAAGAAATCAAACAGAGAGATTATCGACGGAAAAAGCGGCCTGACATTGAGTGGGGAGGATGAGTTTGGTAGAAGTTGGCAACAAATTGGATGGGGTGGAGTGGGTTGTTGAGCGGTGGATAGGAGGGGATGATCCACCAAACAATCTCGAAATTCAGATCTGAAGTCGCATTTGCAATTCGCGAACTCAGGTCAGAATTTCGAGACTCAAATTTGAGCTCGCAAGATCGCGGACTCTAACAGATTTTTTTTTTCCGGTCAGCCCGAGAGAAATTTGGCGAATTTTAGGAAAATCCGCAGCGTACGAATTTTAGATGCGTATAAACTCAATACGCAATCTCAAAGTAGCGTTTTTTCCAACTTAGTTGAATGCCGGAATGTAGGGACAGCAAGGGCAGTGGAGTGGAGTCGTTTGAGCATCATGCAGCCCGTGTCAACACTGCTGCCCACAAGGTGAGGCATTGTTTTCTCAGAGGGACAGGAGGAGGACTTCGAATGCCAGGATATAGTTGCCAGCACTGCCAGTTCATGCGGCAACAACAGGGCAGTTGCGTTGCCTGGTTACTGACTCTTCGAGCTCATAGTGTTGCTTGTTGCTTCGCTGCCTTGATCTCCCTGCGGCTCAGATCTGGATGGGCTACACGGTGCGCTCGCTGCTTCTCTTCTCGCCGCCTCCAATCCGCCTTCCCTGTCTCGCATTCCAGCGGATGAGGAACGTCCGGCAGGCAGCCGTTGAACCCCTGGATCGCTCACCCTTGTCTTGCGCTTCTCGTGATCTCTCCCTATCTCCCTGCGGCTCAGATCTGGATGGGCTACATGGTGCGCTCGCTGCTTCTCGCTGCCTCCGAGCCACCTTCCACCACGAATCACAGTCCAGTGGCCGATGAGGACAGCCTGGCAGCTGTCACTATGGCCTGCCTTCAGCTCCTAGCGAAGCATGATACCGCTGCTGCTGCTGCTGGTGAGGTTCCTGATGCTAGTGCTGATCCTTTCGCTGGTGCTGGTGCTGTTGCTGGTGATGACGGGTCGAATGCTGGTGGTGGTACCACAGCATCTGTAGCACCATCAGCACCCCCGGCTGTAGCAGTGATGGAGGCCTTGCTGGCGGCTGTAGCCAAGCATCTGCCGCCCCAGGGCACGGAGACGCACGGCATGGCGCGTCCTTTTCTGCTGGACGCGTCTCCCATGAGTGACGTGGACAAGCGGACGGCACGGGCGCTGCTGAAGCGGAAGGATGTGGGGGAGGTGGGATCTGGTGGTGGTGATGATGGTGCTGCTGCTGCCAACGGTGCTTCTGCTTCTTCTCCTGCTGCTCCTGCTGCTGCTGTTGCTGCTGATAATAGTGATGGTTCTGCCACTGTTACTGCTGCCACTGCTGCTGCTGCATCTGCTGGCCTGAAAGGAACAGAGTCAGAGGAGGAGCACCTGGGACAAAAGGGACAGGGGAAGCCAGAAGGGGGCAGCACAGCAGAAACGATAAGCTTGCCTTCCAGAAGGAAAAGGAGGCTGCTTAGTGGGGATGGGGCAGGGGCTGAGGAGCAGGAGCAGGAGGAGGGTACAGGGATGGAAGAGGAGAGATTGCAACAGCTAGGAGGGCTTGGTGTGGAGGGTGAGGGGCGAATGACAGGAGATAAGGGAGATGGAGGTTTGTCTGGGGAGGGTTTAGCTGAACGAGGTTCGGACTCAGATGCTTCGGATTCAGACACTACATTCGATGGTCTAGATGCTGATTTTGCTGCTGAGATGGATGCTGAGCTGGACGCACAGGCGTCTGACGTGGCAGCGGCGGCAGTGGGAGTGCTGGCCTCTGATTGGAAGCAGAGGGCGCAGGTTGTGCGTGATTGGCTGGACGACTGGCAGTGGCGGCTGGCAGTGCTGAAAGCTGATTGGCTGGGTGTTCGTGCTGGCGGTGGGAAATTGGAGGAGGGGGTGTTGCAAGAAGAAGAAAATCTGGAGAGAAGAATGCATGAGGAGGGGGAGGTGGAAAATGAAGACGAGGCGAGTGGTTCTGAGCAGGAGAGTGGATTGAAGGGACGTGGGAGAAAGGGAGGAGAAGTGAAAGGGCAGGCAGGGAAGGGGAAGGAGCGGAGACAGCGGAGTGATTGGTCGGCATGGGGGTGGCACGAGGTGGTGGCGTGGATGCGAGTGGATCCCTCTGCTCTCATCTCCTGGTGAGTTGTAGCATTATGTTCCCTGGTTCATCCTAGCAACCCTTTGAATTCCTATGATGCGCTGCTGCGTGGCTGGGAAGTATTAAAACACAAGGGAGGGATGGCACGAGGTGGTGGCGTGGATGCGAGTGGATTACACGATTCTCTCCGGGTCATTCTTTAGGTCTCTGATGCGCCCATTCATGTTCCTTGGGACGTCTCAAAACACAAGGGAGGGATGGCACGAGGTGGTGGCATGGATGCGAGTGGGTCTGCTCTCATTTCCTAGTCCGCTCATTCCGTCGGTTCCCCCTGTTCTCCTTGTTCCCCCTGTTCTCTTTGTTCCCCCTGTGCCCCCTGTTTCCCTTGTCATAATGCAGCTGCCTGTCGGTGGGCGACTTTCTCTCTCTGCGCCTCACTCACTCGCCGCTTCCCACTGGCCGTGCACTCAGAAGCACGAGTGCAGCTCTTCGCGTGCCTTGCCTTAGTCTCTAGGCTGTTTCCCTCTGTTCCCCCTGTCCCTCCTGTCATGTGCAGCTGCCTGTCAGAGTGGGTGATTTCCCTCTTTGCCAGTCTCTCACTCGTCGCTTCCCACCCACTGGCCGTGCACTCAGAAGCACGAGTGCAGCTCTCTGCCTGCCTGCCTGCCTGGCTCGCCTCACTCACTCCTGTCCCCATGTTCCTCCTGTCCTGTTTCCCTCGTTCCTCTCTTCAGCTGCCTGTCGGTTGGTGATTTCTCGCTCTGCGCCGCACTCACTTGCCGCTTCCCACTGGCCGTGCACACAGAGGCACGAGTGCAGCTCTCTGCATGGCTCGCCCGTCACGATCAATCCAGAGTCTTCCGGTGTGACAGTGGGACACACAGTAGCAGCAGCAGTGTTGCTGCTGGCAGTAGCATGGCAGCAGGGAGTGGAAGTGGGGAAACGGGTGGGGAAGCTAGCAAAGAAGGTGGAAACAACAGTGGGACCAGTGGTGCGAGTGGAAGAGGTGGTGGGAGCAGGAGTGGGTTGGAGAGGGTGGGGAGTGTGGAGGCGAGGGAGAGGCGAGTGAGGGAGAACGAACAGGTGGACACGCTATTCTCGCTCTTCTTCGCTCCATCACAGGCCATGTGGGAGATGTTCCCCGCTCTTGACATGGTGGCAGTGCTGCTGGATGCAGCAGCAACGCAGGCTCGCACCGCCCCTGACGCCCTTGTGCTGCTCGACCAGGTATGGCATGATTCTCATTTCCATTCCAATCCTCTCTCTTTCCGTGCCAGCATGCCATCTGCATGCTTCAACTTTGGAGACGTCTCAGAAGGTATTCGCGTTCCTCTCTTCCGTTCAGCATGCACTTGCTCCAACGGTTTCTTCTCCCACTTGCTTCTTCCCCGACCAACGCTGCAGGCTCGCACCGTCCTGACAGCCTGGCAGGCGGACCAACAACGACTGAAGGAAGACAGCAAGGGCAGGGGGTGCAAGGAGCATTCGGGGAAGCATCAACAGCAGCAACAGCACCAGCAGCAGCACCAGCAAGAACAAGAGGGAGATAGTAGCAACAACTTCAACTTAGTGCAGTGGGCAACGGCGGAGCGGCTGTTGCAGAGGCTGGAGGCCATTCAAAATCAGGACCCCACCACGCCTCTCCCGAGCCTGCTGGCTGCCGTGCAGCCGCACCTGTCGCCGTCCCCGGGCCTGTCAGGCTCGGCAGGGGTGCGGCGTGGCCCCAAGGCTCGGGCGGTGATGGCGCTGCAGCAGGTGGTGGCAGATTGCGAGGCGGGCACAGCGCAATTCGTCAGTGGTACGCGGATGAATGTCCATGAGTACGGATATGCCTCGTCTTTCAGTTGTATGTGAAAATTTAAGGGTCATTCTGGCCTCAAGGCATGGTCTGTGATGGCGTTGCAGCAGGTGGTGGCGGATTGCGAGGCGGGGACGGCGCAATTCGTCAGCGGTATGGCTTTTGTTCAGGTGTGATGGGGTATCGACTCAGGGGCCATTGGGCCCCAAGGCTCGGGTGGTGATGGCGGATTGCGAGGTGGGCACGGCACAGTTCGTCTCGTCAGTGGCATGTGGTTTTCCGTTCATGAATTTCCGTAATTATTCATTTATTTAGTTATTTATTTCCCTTATCGATTTCGCACCCTGGAAGACCCGAGCCATCCATTGCCATCCCCTCTTCCCGTACCCCTCCCTCCCTCCCCCAACCAGGCAAGCTCCACAATTTCATCCGAGCCTTGGAAGACCCCGAACCAATGCCCCTCTGTCGCTCCCCTCCTCCCTCCCACCACCTTCCCTGCCGTTTGTTTCTGCCGCTCCAGGCAAGCTACACAATCTTATCCGAGCCTTGGAAGACCCCGAACCAGCAGCAGACCCTCTCTCCCAACTCATCCCCACACCTGCCACGGCCGCTGGCCAGTCAGGGTCCGCCACGTGTCCCCCTCCCGGCAGCGGGCTTGGCTTTGGCATTGGGCTGGACGTGATCTTGCCAGAGCAGCCTGCTACAGACGCTACAGCCGATGCTGCTGCAGCCACAGGAGACGCTACAGCTGCTGCTACAGCCGGTGCTACAGCTGCTGCTAGTGCAGCCGGTGTTTCTGGGCTGAGTACGGCACCAGCAGCAGTAGCAGGGGTAGCAGGGGCAGGGGCTGTAGCACCAGCGGCTGTAGCAGCTGCTTCTGCCAGTGCAGCAGGTGCTGCTGGTGCAGGTAGTACGGGTGAAAGGGATACCCTGGGTGTTGCTGCTGCTGCTGGTGGTGATGGTGCTACTGCTGCTGCTGCTGCTCCTGACGCTGCTGTAGGACCTTCCTTGTCCTCCTCCTCCTCCTTTTCTCTCTGGCGAATGTTGCATGGGGGAGGGGGAGGAGCAGGAGGAGGAGCAGGAGGAGGAGCAGGGGGTGGAGGGGGGCCAGCAAGTGTGCCTGCAGTATCTGCCCGGACCGATTCCCAAGGCTCGGTGGCTGCTGCAGCTGCGGTGGCGGGCTTAGCTTCGGCAACAGGTTCGGCGGGAGTGGGAGTGCTGGCCATGCAGGGGGCAGCAGGGTCTCCTGTGCACACCCCTCCTCTCTCCCCCCGCTGGACCCGCTCCTCCTCTAGCCTTGGCCTCTCCGCCGCTGCCGCCGCTGCTGCTGCTGCTGCTGCTGCTGCTGCTGCTGGTGGTGCATCGGTGGCAGCAGCAAGGGAAGGTGCCGGTGCTGCTGGTGCATTGGAAGCAGCAGCAGCGGCAGCAGCAGTTGAAGAGCTCTCTGAAGGAGGTTCAGCTAGGTCTGCCTCCCTCCCTCTTCCCTCCACTGCTGTTACTACTTCCTCCTCTGCTGCTGCTCCGTCTCCCCTTTCAGGACTATCGCGCTCCTCTGTAGGCGCTGTCAGAATGCCCCCTCCCTCCACAACCACCACCATCACAAGCACCCCATCTGCTGCTGCATCTGCACGCGTATCTGCTCCTCCAGCTCCAGGTGCTTCCTCAGGTGGGAATGCCAGAGCGTCTGCCCCGCTCCCTCCTGTGCTGCGATCCTCCATGCCCAGTCTCTGGCCTTTCTCTTTCAACTCTGCAAACGCCAAGCAGGCTGCTGCTGCAGCAGAGGGGCAGAATGTAGTTGGGCTTCAGTCCCTTCTAGGGTCTAGCACTGGCAGAGAAGCAGCAGGAGCATCAAAAGCAGCAGGAGCAGCAGCAGGAGGAGCAGGAGGGACCGGAGGGGGAGGAGAAAGGGGTGGAGAAAAGGGAGGAGGAACGGCAGGAGCATTATCATCATCAGCAACAGCAGCGGCAGCAGCAGGGTTGCGAGGGCCAGGGAAGCAGCCTTGGGATCATCCCAAGGGTTACCTGCCAGTCTTCTTGAACTACGTGGTTCAAATTGGGGATATAGTCGACGACAGTGACCCCAGCCACCCCTTTAACTACTTCTCTTTACTAAACATCGACCCGGTGGAGCTTTTAAGAGAGCTTGTGTTTGTGAGAGGGGATATTGCTGCTGCGTTGCATGTGGCTGGGATCATGGGTCGGGAATCCCTACCTGCTGATATCATCCCCGCAGCTCTCCCGAGCCTGCTGCCGCCTGTGCCGAGCCTGAAGCTCTGCTCCGTGGCTCGGCGCTTCCGAAGCAGACTGCTGGGCAGGTCCGGAGGAGGACCAGGGCAGGGTAGGCCCGGTAGGAGCAAGGTAGCAGGAGGAGTGGGAGGGGTGGAAAGTGCGGAGAAGCTTCTGGTGCCTTCTCCGTATGAGCCGCCGCGATTTGCACTGAGTATGGATGTGGTTCAGCTGCTTGCGAGAGATTCCATGGTGCATGCTGTGTTGGCTTGTGTGCTGGGAGCAGAACAGCAGATAGTGCAAATGCACAGACGCAAGGAGAGAGAGCGTGACATGGAAACAATAGGTGCATTTTCCGGTGGTGGCGCTCCAGCTGCTACCAGCGGTGTTGGTGGTGGTGCTGCTGCCACAGGTGGTTATGTGGCTGGTGTTGGTGGTGGTGCTGCTGCCACAGGTGGTTATGTGGCTGGTGTTGGTGGTGGTGCTGCTGCCACAGGTGGTTATGTGGCTGGTGTTGGTGGTGGTGTGGGTAGGACTAGGCCTGCTGGTGTGTTGGGAGGTGATAGGAGCAGGGGCAAGGGAGGGGGAGTGGGTGGAGGGGGGAGTGCAGTGAAGGCAGAGGAAGAGGCTGCGAAGAAACTGATGGAATATGCCCGCTTGCACTCTGCAGGGTGAGTCAAGAAACGCTATTGGGACAGCCTAGTGTGTGGAGTGGATTCGCATTCTGTGTTCTGAGATGTGACTCAGGCAAACATCTCATGTTCCTTCAAACATTTCTTTTGAACGTTTCTTTTGGCCCATCAGCCTAAGGCTGCTTCTCTTCGCCTGTCTCTTACTCCCCTCACTTGGACACCCCCCGCTTCCTCCCCTCAGCATTCCAATCATCCACCGGTGGGTCACTCTGCAATCTGCCATTCACTCTATCGCCATTGCTGCTGCTAAAGCACCCTCTCGCCCTCCGAAGCAGCAAGCAGCAGCAGCTGCAGCACCACCACTAGGAGGAGCCGCAGCAGGTGGGGAGGGCACTGTGGGGGGAGGAGTCAGAGGCGGGCCACTGGGTGCAGGGGTTGCAGGGATGGTGGGGGTTGCACAGCCAAGGGGATCAGAAGAGGGAGGAATGCCAATAAGGCAACAGGAGGCATTGAGAGAACAGCCCTTGGGTCGGGACAGCTCTAGCCTTGGAGGGACCTTGGCTGTGCATTCGCCTGGTAACAGTAGCAGGAAGGGCGGTAGGGGGTTTGCAGGGTCAGCTCTGCTGCTTGCAGGGCAAGAAGGAACACCAAGGAGAGTGAGAGGTGCGAGATTGCCTGGAGCAGGGGGGGTAGCAGCAGATGGTATCGGTGGGCCGGTGGTGGGTAAAGGGCCGGTGGTGGGTGAAGGACAGGTGGTTGAAGGAGGAGGAAGAGGCACAAAACGGCCTCTTGCTGTTGAAATGGATGCTGTTGAGGTGGGAAGCGGGGAGGGGGTTTCTGAGAGAAGGGGGTTTCTGTCTATGGGGGAAACAAGACACGCGAGTGCTGGTGTTGCTGAGAGAAGGGGAGCAGGGGAGGATCCAGCTCAGGGGGATCCCAGCTCAATGCCAGACCAACGAGGGTTGGCAGGAGAGGAGGGAGGAGCGACAGGAGGAGTGAGGGAGGAGCAGGGGACTTGTGAAAGGGAAGCAGGGGTAGCAGGGGCGGAAGGGGCAGCAGGGGTAGCAGCAACAGCAGGGGCGGCAGAGGTAGCAGGGGCAGCAGCAACAGCAGGGGCAGCTGTGGCAGGTGGTCGGCTGGAGGCTCTGTTGACAGAGTGGGAGGATTTGCGGCCTGTGAGGATTCACCTGGAGAGGTGAGGATTCACCTGGAGAGGTGAGGATTCACCTGGAGAGGTGAGGATTCACCTGGAGAGGTGAGGAGTTAAAAAACAATGGAACAGGTCATTATTTTCTTCCAGGACGTAAATTCCTCCTGTAGGTGATTGGTTTACAGTGTTTGTTTCCTTCCTTCTTCTCCCGTCTCCCACTCCCAACTCCTTTCACCCTCTCTCCTTCCCACACTTTTCCTTTTGTTTTCTTTTCGGTTTCCTTTCCTTTTCTTTTCGGTTTCCTTTCCTTTTATTTTCGGTTTCCTTTCTCCCAGCCTGATTGCTGACTCGCGGTTGGCCGAAGCCCTTGAGCTGGCAGACACGTGGCTGCCTGAGGGGGCGCCAGATCACCTGCTGTGTCTGCTCGTGGAGCAGGCAGAGCGCTCTGATGGTGCTACTGCTGCTCACACGCACACAGCAGGAGCAACTGGAACATGGACGGCAGGAGCAGGGGCAGGGGCAGGAGGAGACATGATGCGGTTTCAGAAGGTGCCTGTAACACAGGCAAGCAGGGTGCAGCAGAAGAGTCCAAGGAGTGGAGGAGTTGGGTTTGCAGGTTCTGCGGCTGCTGGTGGTGGTGCTGGTGGGGGGAGTGAGGCAGGGGGTCGCACTGGCAGTGCGGGCAAGGCCGTGGGGAAGCCGGTAACAGCGGGTGACAGCTGGCGGTTTGTGATTCGCGTGGCTGACAAGGAGCTTGCAGCGGCGCTGGCTCTGAGGTGAAATGGGGGGGTGGGGTGGGATTCCAAAAGCTCTCAAATATCGCTCGCAAGGGCGGATCTGTGTGTTTCATCATGCCATGCCATTGGTTGGGTTTGGGGTTCTGGCTCTGTGACGATGACGGCAGCTTGCGACAATCACAATATTCAGAAGCTGAGCATGCGTCTGTATGTGTCCTTTTTGTGTGGGGTGTGTGTGGGGGTGTGTGGGGGTGTGTGGGGGTGTGTGGGGGTGTGTGGCATATGCGCTGCTGTGTCTGCATGGACTTATGTTCTCTCTGCATGACTGCCTGCACTGCACCACTATAGGTACCACCACAGCTGGCAGCTGTCACCCATCCACACCGTGTTCAACACCTGCCTCTCACACCTCCATGCACACTCGCCCCTGCGCTCTCAGGTATGCTCGTTGCCTTCCGGCTTTGGAATGTTCATAGCAGACGCGATAGTATCGGTGACCCTGTAGCTCCTGTGTGTGCCGCACTTTAGAATTGCATGTTGAGGGTTAGGGTAAACCTTTAACCCTAAACCCTCGTCTTTGTTGAAACATAAAATCGTATTGGTCTTGTTCCCTTGACCCTTCCCTTTCCTGTTCCCACCTCTCTCCCTTCTCACCTTCCTCCCCTCCCCAACCTCCTCCCACCTCCCCCCAAAGATCCTCACCTGCAAGTCATCTGTGGATCAGTACACTCGCATCCGCTCCATTCTCAACGACAGAACCCTTGCCACGTGGCAGCAGGTCAGTGGCTTGGCTCTTCGTACTTGTTTGTCGTCAGCTAATCAACAACATCAGAGTAGCTTTTGAAAAAATCAAAAGTGAAAACGATTCAGCTGTCATCAGCCAAGCCGACAGTCAAGGGGTGAAAGGGTCAAACACCTTTCTCCCCTCTCTGCTCCCTATCTAGGTTCGCTCGCCACCCAGCCGCCAAGCGGCAGTGAAACAAGAGGCTGCCTTTTGAATGAAACCGGACCTGAGCCTCTCTCCTTCCCGCTCTCGCCACTTTCATTTCCAGGTTCGCGCGCTCTGCTTCCGCGATCCCGAGTCAGTTTGTCGCCAGCTAGCTGCTAAGGGAGCAGTCAAGGAGGCAGTGTCACTAGCAGAAGCACATGCTACTGCTGCTCCTGCTGCTGCTGCACCAGCAGAAACACCAGGAGCAGGAGCTGGAGTGGAAACAGTAGCTGCTGCTAATGCTGCGTGGGGAGCAGGGGCTGCTGAAGCAGCACAAAGAACAGCACTTGGAGCGGCACCAGCAGGGGCAGTAGCTGCAGCAGCAGGAGTGGCAGCAGAAGGGAGGGTGGGAGGGGCGTTACTAGCAGAGCTGAGGGGGCGCTATCTGAGTGAACTAATGGGTGGGGATCCGTTGCAGGGTGACTCAGGCCCTGCAGTGGGAATGAGATATCTGGAGAGATTGATGTTGGAAGGGGCGAAGGAGCGTGATAGCAGCAGGCACGCGGGTCAGGAAGACAGGGTCGGCATGGATGGTGGCTCTACTGCTACTGGTGATGGGTCTGGTATGGCTGGTGTTGGTGGTAGCACTGGTGCTTCTGCTTCCACTGCCGCTCCTGCTGGTGCCGGTGCCGCTTCTGGCGGTGGTGATAGGAGGAGCGGAGAAGAGGGGGTGGAAGCAAGGGGGAGAGTGGAGGGCAGGGAGGGAGTGATGGGTGTTGTGCTATCGGCCATGCAGTGGGCTCCGTCCCTGCACGCCAAGAAGCTCATCGTACGTATCCTCATGCGCTTGCCTCTTTCCATCCATGTGACTAGCCACCTCACCTCACCTGCCTATCGGCCATGCGGTGGGCTCCGTCCCTGCACGCCAAGAAGCTCATCGTACGTGCGCTAATGTGCCGCCTAAATAGTGTGTGCTTGTGTCTGAAAATTCTCCTCGCCTCACCTTTGCTGTCAACCATGCGGTGGGTTCGGTGTCTGCATGCCAAGAAGCTCATAGTACGTTACGTGAAGCCACTTTGAGTTTTGAGACGTCTCAAAAGGCTTGGTCCCTGCATGCCAAGAAGCTCATCGTACGCTACGTGAAGCCACTTTGAGTTTTGAGACGTCTCAAAAGGCTTGGTCCCTGCATGCCAAGAAGCTCATCGTACGTTACGTGAAGCCACTTTGAGTTTTGAGACGTCTCAAAAGGCTTGGTCCCTGCATGCCAAGAAGCTCATCGTACGCTACGTGAAGCCACTTTGAGTTTTGAGACGTCTCAAAAGGCTTGGTCCCTGCATGCCAAGAAGCTCATCGTACGCTACGTGAAGCCACTTTGAGTTTTGAGACGTCTCAAAAGGCTTGGTCCCTGCATGCCAAGAAGCTCATCGTACGTTACGTGAAGCCACTTTGAGTTTTGAGACGTCTCAAAAGGCTTGGTCCCTGCATGCCAAGAAGCTCATCGTACGCTACGTGAAGCCACTTTGAGTTTTGAGACGTCTCAAAAGGCTTGGTCCCTGCATGCCAAGAAGCTCATCGTACGTTACGTGAAGCCACTTTGAGTTTTGAGACGTCTCAAAAGGCTTGGTCCCTGCATGCCAAGAAGCTCATCGTACGTTACGTGAAGCCACTTTGAGTTTTGAGACGTCTCAAAAGGCTTGGTCCCTGCATGCCAAGAAGCTCATCGTACGTTACGTGAAGCCACTTTGAGTTTTGAGACGTCTCAAAAGGCTTGGTCCCTGCATGCCAAGAAGCTCATCGTACGTTACGTGAAGCCACTTTGAGGGCGTCTAAGTACCCACATGTTCTTGCTTCTTTCCATCCATCCATGTGCCTTTTGAGTTTCGCATCCTGCAAATATGCATCCTGCTGTCATCATTTCTTAAGTTCCTAAAAAACACATCTTCATACCCACCCCTCCCCTTCCCCCACGCCTGTCAAAAAGGTGAATTTTGTCCTCAAGCGGGCAGCAGAGGCAAGTTTGCCTTCTGCTGACGTGGCAGACGCCAGGCAGCTCCAACTAGGCCTGCAGCTTCTGGGAACCTTCCCGACGGAGTGGCAGCAGCGGCTGGGAGGGCAGCATGTGGCTGTGCTGCTGCAGCCGGAGCTTATAGTGGAGAGCCTTATAATGGAGAAACACACCTCCCTGCTGCCACAGGTAGGATGCACATTCATTCATTCATTCTGTATGTATTTTGTTACCCTATTACCGTGTGTTATCCCATGTTGTTACACCATGTTGACCCCTGTTACCCCCCAACTTATAGCCTGTCACCGCTTGTTACCTCCTCTCACCCCTTCTTCCTACGTGTCTTCCAGAGCTTTCCCAAGTTCCATGCCTTATGAAACGACACCCACCTCCTCTCTATTTTGTGGAGGTTGATTTCAACAATTCTCAGAATCTATTCTCTGTCACCCCTTCTTCCTGCGCCTCTGGCAGATCTTCGCCAAGTTTCCAGCCCTTCGCAACGACACTCTTCTCCTCTCCTACGCACGCAAAGCCCTCCTCCCCTCCCCTCTCTCCCCCTCCTCCTCCTCTTCCTCCTCCGCCTTCGCCTCTTCCTCTCCCTCCACCACCCACCCATCTGCCACCTCCCCTCCTCCTCCCCCTCCTCCTCCTCTTCCCCACCAAAACTCCCTCCGCTCCTCCGCTGTCCCCCGGCCGCCCTCCGTCCCTCCCGCACCCATCACCAGCAGCTTTCTGCGCATTCAGCAGCAAGCTTCCCGCGTCTTCCCTTGGGGGGGATCCTCTGGTGGTGGTGGTGGTGGTGCTGCTGCTGCTGCTGCTGCTGCTGCTGCTGCTCCTTCTAGCGATGTCTTTGCAAGCCCTGTTCCATCCCCTCGTGGTTCCCATGGGTTAGGATGGATAGGAGGAGGGAGAGGAGGAGGAGGAGGAGGGGGAGGAGTGGGAGTGGGGGTGGGGAAAGGGAGTGGGGGGACAGTGGGGGTTGATCGCCCGCCGACGCTTGCAGAGGCAGCAAAGTCACGGCTTTCATCCTCCATTTCTCTGGATTCTCCTGCTCGTACCTCTGCCTCTCACTCTGCTGCCTCTGCTGCTGATGCTGCTGGTCGTAGTGGTGCTGCTTCTGCCTCTGGTGGTGGTGGTGGTGGTGCTGCTGCTGCTGCTGCTGCTGGTGCAACCCGTTTTGGAGCACGAGGGAGGACAGTCAGCAGCGGCACTGCTAGCCTGCAAACCAGCCCGTGTCCAGGTTCACTGAACCAGCCACATGGCACAGGCACCGCTACAGCCGCTACAGCTGCTAGAGCAGCCGGCGCCCATTCGGAAGTTTCCGGGCGGCATCTAAAATCCGCCATTACAATAAGCTCCATGTCACTTCCTGAGCTGATTGGCCAGCCTGTCGGGTACCTGCCAGGTGGCCGCACGGGATTGGACGAGGTGTGCGAGGAGGGGGGTGGAGGAGGGGAGGGCGAGGAGGGAGAGGAGGAGGCAATGGGGAGGCTAGGAGCGCGGGACATGCAGCAAGGAGCGATCTTGATAGGGGAAGAGAATCAGGATAGTGAAACGAGAGCGCACCATGTGTTTCCAGACACGCCAGATGTTTCTTTATTCCAGTCGCTTGCTTCGCTGTGTTCTAGAAGATTCTCGGTGGTGAAGGGGCTGCTGGCAGTGGTGGTGGAACAGGCTGGCGTGGCTCTGGCCAAGGAGAGTGTGCCACGTGGCACCAGCCTGCTGTCGCTGACTCAGACCGCCTTCCTCTCGAAAGCCTACCTCAAAGTGAGTGAAGGGGGGGGGGGGTAAGGGATACAGAGCGAAGGGAGAGTAGGGAGTGAGAGTCGGGACCAGAAGAGCTGAAAACAGCCATGGGATGGGATGGGAGTGGACTCAGAAATCACATCTTCCCACTCTTTTCAAGTCGACTCAAAAGCTGCTTCTTCTGTTCCTACCCTTCATCTCCAGGCACGGACCATTGTGAGGTAGGGATGAGCAAAGGGCGAACACGAACATGTTCGTCTTCGCCCCTTGTCGAACACCCTCTTTTGATGAACCGAACAGTGTTCGGTTCGGCGAACAGTTTAGGAAAAAACAGGTGTTCGCTGTTCGCCTGTGGAGGCGTGTTCGGGCGAACCTCGAACACTGTTCGTGTTCGTCGCGGGCAAATTTCAGCAGCGGCCCGAACACGAACGTGTTCGGGCGAACATCGAACACTGTTCGGCGAACGATTTGAGCTAAAAAACAAAACCTGTTCGGTTCGCCTCGAACACGTTCGAGGCGAACCGAACAGGTGTTCGCCACCTTGCTCATCCCTATTGTGAGGGACCTGCTCTTGGCATACCAGGCGCAGCTTGCCAAGCTTCTGAGGCGCCTCAAAAGTCTTTTCCCTTCCCACGTCCTCTGGGGTCTGTTCCCAAGTCTACTTCTTCTGTTCCTACCCTTCATCTCCAGGCACTCACCATTGTGAGAGACCTTCTCTTGGCATACCAGACGCAGCTTGCCAAGCCTGGACCTGCCACCCGAACCACAGGCTCGGCACGCGAGCCACCAGCCCAGGTCCGGGCAAGAGGCTCGGCGCAGGTTCGGGGGCGAGATCCGGCGCAGGTTCGGACACAGCTGAAGGTGCTGAAGCAGCTGCTGGTTCGGGCAGAGGCTTGGATCGCACGGGTGAAGCTTCTGAGAAGGTTCCTGGCGGATAATGTGGGGGTGGGGATTGACGAGCTTGGTGGGGGTGACCCTGACTTCCAGCCTGGTTCTCCTGGGTTATTTGCCTCTCTGTACATTCACTCAGTGATGGGAGGAGGAGAGAAGGGCGGGGCAGTAGGAAGGGGAGGAGGACGGGAATCGGGGGCAGGAGGGGGAGCAGCGGGAGGGGATATGGCTTGGAGTGTTGAGATACAGCAGAACCAGCAGCAGTCGCAGCAGCAGCGGCGGCACCACCACCACCACCACCAGCAGCAGCAGCCAAGGTCGATGCAGCAGCAACAACAGCACTGGCACGGTTCGTCACAGGCCCGGTTGCATCCCGAAGCAGAAGCAGAGGCACGGGAGGCGTCCCTGTCCGCGACCCTGGCTCTCAGGGACGGGTTGGTGAAGGAGGAATGTTATGAGCTGGCAGCTGCTCTGTGTGACACGTGTCATCATGTGGACCCATGTCCTGTGTACAAGGCATGGGCGATGTCCCTCATTCGAGTGAAGAACTACACCCAGGCGCGGCACATTCTAGAGTGAGTATGAGAGAATGTATACCTTACTATACACATATCGCTTCCTTTTCTTTTGTGAGCTATGGGTGGGTTGCTGCTGCTCTTTATAAGGCGTGTCATCATGGTATGTGGACCCCTGCCCTGTGTACAAGGCGCAGGCACTATTCATACCCCTCTTCCCTTCTCTTCTCACCCTTCTTTCCCCCCTACTCCAGGCGACTCTTCCTCTTCCTCAACCCAGCCTCCTCTTCAGCTCCAACCACCGCTTCTGCTGCTTATGCTACTTCTGCTCCTGCTGCCGCTCCAGCTGTTGCAAGCACTTCTGGCAGGCGCGTTTCCTCCTCCTCCACCTCCTCTTCTTCCTCTGCTGCAGCTGCTGCTGCTGCGAGTTCACAAGGAGTTGTGGTGGGAGCGGGAGGAGCAGTGTCAGCAGCAGGAGGGGGGAGAGAGGTGCTGAGGAGTCGCGGAGGGATGGGGGCAAGCACAGGACAAGCAGGAGGGGCAGGAGGGGCAGGAGGAGCGGGAGCGGTGGGAGGTGTGGGAGGAGGGGGTGGAGGGGAGAGGATGGCAGTGGTGTCATGGGAAGTCGTACGCTTCATCGAGACTTGTATTCCTGCTGATGTGCCCGGGACTCAGCTGCTGTGAGTAGCATTCTTTGGATGGGTTGCCGTTGAAGCTCCCATTAGCACAATGGAATCACATTTGAGAGATTTCATAAGTGATTCCAGAGCAACTCATTCTGCTTGGCTGCTATCTACATGCGTATCTATCACATGCTGTTTTCAGAACCACGTGTACACGTGGCTATCTACATGCGTATCACATGCTGTTTTCAGAACCATGCAACTCAAAACATCCCTCTTCCTTTTCCTCTCCTATTCTCTTGTCGCCCATCACCTCTCACCTCTCACCTCTCAGTCTATCCCAGGCAGAGGAGGCCGTAGAGAGTCGATTTTTGAGTCACAGATTCCTTCAAAAATCGACTTACTACACGCAGAGGAGGCCGTAGCAGATTCCTTCCTTCTATGGCTCCCTCACAGCAGAACCATGTCTTATACTTCTTGTTTCTTTTTCCGTCCCGCTTTTTCCTCCTCTCCCATCACCACTCAGCCTATCCCAAACAGAGAAGGCAGTAGCAGATTCTTTCCAAGACTCCCTCACAGCAGAGTCCTACCTGGGCGCTCTCACCTCCCCCATGACACAGGATGCCATAGATCTTTGTTCTTTCTCCCATATCCTTGCGTCTGTCTGTGCCATCGCGTTTCAGTCTATCCCAAACAGAGAAGGCAGTAGCAGATTCATTCCAAGACTCCCTCACAGCAGAGTCCTACCTGGGCGCTCTCACCTCCCCCATGACACAGGATGCCATAGATCTTTGTTCTTTCTCCCATATCCTTGCGTCTGTCTGTGCCATCGCGTTTCAGTCTATCCCAAACAGAGAAGGCAGTAGCAGATTCTTTCCAAGACTCCCTCACAGCAGAGTCCTACCTGGGCGCTCTCACCACCACCTCCACCCTCTTCAGCTCTCCCACCCTCCGCCCCTCCTCCTCCTCCTCCACCTCCTCCTCCTCCGGCCGCCCATCCTCCTCCTTAGCACCACCATCCACTGCAACTGCATTCGGTACCAATGCTGCTTCTAACACTCCTTCCGGTCCTGCTGCTGCTGTCACTTCTGCTGGCATTTCTCCGATCCTAGGGGCCATGCCCCCTCCTGCTACATTGCCATATGATGATGGTAGAGAGGGAGGAGGGCGAGAACGTTCAACATATGTCCGCCAGTCAGCGTTCGAGGCGCAGGGATCTGCCTGGTCAGGACACGGAGAAGGGGAGTCAAGAAGGCGAGGCGAGGGGCAAGGAGAAGGGAACAAGGGGCGAGAGGAAGGGCAGGGAGAGGGGGTTGCGGTGGTGGAGGATGAGGAGAGGGAGACGTTTTCATACCTGGATGATGAGCGGTTCAATGAGTGCACTCAGCTGCTTAAGCGGGTGGGTGGGTGCTTGCTTTTTCGTGGCTTTTTCAGAAAATCAGCTGAGCAGTTGCGCATGGTTGTTTAGAATCCTAATATTCCCTTCAGAGACTCTCTCTCAAGTTGCCTTTGGGCCTTTTCTTCTGGACGTTGCATGTATTATGCTACCTGCTTTCAAGGTCTTGAACAGTGGCTTATCAAAATGTTCTCGCTGCTCGCTCCTTGGTCCCTCTCCCATTACTCTCACCTGCCCTGCCTTGCTCATACCATTTCAGTTGACTCAGAAGTTTGTTTCGCTCCTCGTTCTTTTCTCTCATTACTCGTACTTGCCTGCCTTTCTCATAGGGTCTTACCCTACTTACTCTGTCTGTCTGCCCTCGTTATCCACCCACCCACCTGCTCATCTTCCCTGCAGCATGCCCCTCGGGATCTGCTCCCCTTCATGTTCAGACACGGCCGCTACCGCTCCGCCTGCTGGCTTATCTTCTTCCCTCCTCCTCCTCCCCACCCTTCCTCCTCCTCCTCCCCTTCTCTCACATCCACCCCCGAGCACAACAGCATCAGTAGCAGCAGCACCACCACCACCGCCACCGGCACTCTTCCTAACCCCTTGGCACCTCAGCCACCTGCTTTTTCGCTCAGCCCGGCTTGGCCCTTCCTGTCCTCATTATTAGACTGGGATCCGTTAAAGTCAGAGCACGCTACTGTAGAAGAGCTGTGCGCACTGTGTGTATCATACGGAGCTGTCGAGGTGCTGGAAAGAGTGGTGGCAGAGGCACTAGGAGGGAGTGCGGCAGGAGGAGCAAATGGTGCTGGTGGTACTGGTGCTGCTGCTTCTGGTGGTGGTGGTGGTGCTGCTGCTGCTGCTGCTGGTTGGAGTGTTATATCTGTTGCACCATCATCATCAGCAGCAGCGTCGCCAGCGTCAGCAGCATGGGCGAGTGCCAATGTCAAGTGCCTGGCGGCTCTTTCCCGCATCTGCACTTTCTTTGAGTCTCAAAAGAACTTCCACTTCCTATTCCGATTCCTTGTAAGCCCTACTCCTCATCTCTCTCTCTTTTTCTTCCCCTTTCCATTCCTTGTATGCTGCATTCGTCCCCGTTACTGCCTGCGCATTCTCTTTCAGTGCTTTTTTTTTTCTCTTTTTGGGGAATAAGAATAAAACCACACTTCCTCTTTCTATTCGTGGTGAACCCAGGTTAGCCCGGGTCACACTGTGTGTGTTCTTACTTATCTCAAACATCGGCCAACAAAATACATTGTGTGGCAGACAGGCACTGTGCACCTTCTCCAGTTTTAGACCGACAAACCAATTGACCCCTCTCCACCAGCTGCTGGCCCGAGATTACGCAGCAGCAGGTCTGTGCACCATTTAAACCTCTCTCTGGCCGATCCAGTCTTTCCTATTCTTCCTCGTTCCCCTCCAACCCCTCCGCCCCCTCCACTCTTCTCTCCGTCAGCTGTTAGCCAGGGACTATGTGGCAGCAGGGCTGTGCAGCATTTAACCCTCTCTTGTTAATCCATTCGTTTCTGTTCCTCCTCTTTCCCCTCCACTCACGCCCCCTCCTCCCGTCCTCTCTCCGACAGCTGTTATCCAGGGACTATGTGGCAGCAAGGCTGTGCAGCATTCAGGCTTTCCAACCCCCAAATCCTGTTTTTGAGTCGACTCAAAAGGCTTTCCAATCCCCAAATCCTCTTGCCTTCATGTTCCCTGTCCAATCTTCGCTGTCCACTCTCCCCTCCTTCAGCTGCTAGCCAGGGACGACGTGGCAGCAGGGCTGTGTAGTTCGTGTCAATCCCACTCTTTGCCTCCTTCTTCCCCCGCCACTCTCAACCCCTCCACCATACAAGTTGATGGACGTAAGGCCTCCGCAGCCCACCTGTCTGTGTTCGACAACTTCTTCCCCCGCCACTCTCACCCCCTCCACCCCTCCTCTCATCCCCTCCTCTACCAGCTGCTAGCTAAAGACTACGTGGCAGCAGGGCTGTGCAGCATCCAGCTCTTCCTCTACTCGCCCGATCTTCGCACCGCAGCAACGCACCTGCAGCAGGCACAGGTGAGATCAGTTTGAGTTACCTTTGTGAATGGTCAGACAGACGTATCGCAGATGCAGGCTGCAGCATCCAGCACTTCCTTTACTCACCCGACCTTCGCACCGCAGCAACGCACCTGCAGCAGGCACAGGTGAGATCAGTTTGAGTTACCTTTGTGAATGGTCAGACAGACGTATCGCAGATGCAGGCTGCAGCATCCAGCACTTCCTTTACTCACCCGACCTTCGCACCTGCAGCAGGCACAGGTGAGATCAGTTTGAGTTACCTTTGTGAATGGTCAGACAGACGTATCGCAGATGCAGGCTGCAGCATCCAGCACTTCCTTTACTCACCCGACCTTCGCACCTGCAGCAGGCACAGGTGAGATCAGTTTGAGTTACCTTTGTGAATGGTCAGACAGACGTATCGCAGATGCAGGCTGCAGCATCCAGCACTTCCTTTACTCACCCGACCTTCGCACCTGCAGCAGGCACAGGTGAGATCAGTTTGAGTTACCTTTGTGAATGGTCAGACAGACGTATCGCAGATGCAGGCTGCAGCATCCAGCACTTCCTTTACTCACCCGACCTTCGCACCTGCAGCAGGCACAGGTGAGATCAGTTTGAGTTACCTTTGTGAATGGTCAGACAGACGTATCGCAGATGCAGGCTGCAGCATCCAGCACTTCCTTTACTCACCCGACCTTCGCACCTGCAGCAGGCACAGGTGAGTGGGACAAGGCAGTTGCAGCTGAAACTGGCCGCAGGTTGGATTGAGCTGGTTGGAGCTGACCCTTCGTCTGTCTCAGTTTTGGTGTCTGTGTGTCTGGGTGGGTGATTTCGCAACATTTACATGCCATGCCCAGATTCATTTTTATGTGTCTGGGTGGGTGATTTCGCAACATTTACATGCCATGCCCAGATTCATTTTTATGTGTCTGCGTGACCCTTCCTTCCCCCATGCCCCTCCTCAGCTGCTCTTTGAGAAGGGCACAGAAGCCAGGCAGAACGCAGCAGCGGATTTGGCAGCATCGGTCGGCCCTCTTGCTGCTGCCGGCAAGAGACTCGCCGTCTCTGCCGCCTCCTCTTCCTCCAATGCTACTGCTGCTGCAAACACCTCTGGTGCAGGAGGAGGAGCAGGTATATCTGGAGCAGCAGGTGCCAGCAGTAGTGGCAGCAGCAGCAGCAGCACCTCCACAAGCAGTAGCAGCGCAGCTGCCAGCCTGGCACTGATCAGCAAGCAGCGGGCGGCGACAGCAAAGATATCGGACGAGGATCTGCTGAGGCTGCAGCGGCTGGCAGAGCTACAGCTGGAGGTGGTGCGGGTGGTGGGGTCGTGCAGTGGCAGGGACAGCAGCAGCGTGCCTCTCGTGGGGAGTGCGAGGAAGGCGCCGTGGAGCGTGGCGCTGTTTGGTGCTCCCAGCGATGCGCGGACCAGCAAGTGAGTGGCTCTTTGGGTTTTTGTGTGTGGGGGTGTATGGTGAACGCGTGCAGTGGCAGGGACAGCAGCGGCGTGCCTCTCGTGGCGCTGTTTGGTGCTCCCAGCGACGGCTGGACGAGCAAGTGAGTTGGTTGTTAACAAGGTGACTTTTGAGTCGACTCAGCACCTCGTTTGGTGCTCCCAGCGACGGCCGGACGAGCAAGTGAGTTGGTTGTTTGCTTGGGAAAGTGCATGTGTGTGTGTGTGTGTGTGTGTGTGTGTGTGTGTGTGTGTGTGTGTGTGTGTGTGTGTGTGTGTGTGTGTGTGTGTGTGTGTGTGTGTGTGTGTGTGTGTGTGTGTGTGTGTGTGTGTGTGTGTGTGTGTGTGTGTGTGTGTGTGTGTGTGTGTGTGTGTGTGTGTGTGTGTGTGTGTGTGTGTGTGTGTGTGTGTGTGTGTGTGTGTGTGTGTGTGTGTGTGTGTGTGTGTGTGTGTGTTTGTGCGAGCTTAGCTCTGATCGCCAAGCAGCGGGTGGCGACAGCAAAGATCTCGGACGAGGATCTTCTGAGGCTGCAGTGGCTGGCAGAGCTGCAGGTGCTGCAAATTCATTTACCATACCTCCTCACCCTGCAGCCTTCCGCTTTTCCCTTTCCTTCCCCCCCCCTTTCCAACAAACAGGCGGCGTGTTGAAGTGACAGAGTTTCTGGTCGAGAGAGAGTTCAACCTGGCGCTGGAGGTGATCAACTTCCTGCACCTGCCAGCTGTGCAGATCTACGCCAGCGTGGCAGCCTCGCTGGCGGAGAAGCAACAACACCGCGTGCTGTTTGAAGGGTTGATGGACCGGATCAAATACATGCTGCCGCCCGCTGACATGGACGAGGTGAGCTGTGAGCTGTGGGAGATGAGTGCATTCGTTGCTTGGGGAAATTCCTTCCTTTGCCTTGAGGGAAGAAGCAGCACCGCGTGCTGTTTGAGGGGCTCATGGACCGGATCAAATACATGCTGCCGCCCGCTGACATGGATGAGGTGAGCTGTGAGCTGTGGGAGATGAGTGCATTCGTTGCTTGGGGAAATTCCTTCCTTTGCCTTGAGGGAAGAAGCAGCACCGCGTGCTGTTTGAGGGGCTCATGGATCGAATCAAATGCATGCTGCCGCCGCCAGACATGGACGAGGTGAGTGAGAGTCACTGTCTTTTCAGTACCGCATCCAGACTTCGTCACTCTCTCCCTCTCCCTTTGAGAGAAGCAGCAGCACCGCATGCTGTTTGAGGGGCTCATGGACCGGATCAAGTACATGCTGCCGCCTGCTGACATGGACGAGGTGAGCAGTACAGCCGCTGCCAGCCAGCCGTGATTCACATGTATTATCCCTTGCTCACAACCACACGCACTTCCCTCTCTCTGTCTGAGGCCGCGTGTTGTTTGAGGGGCTCATGGACCGGATCAAATAGATGCTGCCGCCCGCTGACATGGATGAGGTGAGCTGCGATGCGAGCCGTGAGCTGCGATGAGACGACTCAAAAGTGAGCTGGGAGACGACTTTTGATTCGACTCAAAATTGAGCTGGGAGGCGAGTGCATTGCTTGCTCTGAGGAGATGCTCTCTCTCCATTGCAAGTCCTCGTTCATCGTTTCTTCCTCCATCGTTTCCCCCTCCTCTGGAATTCCGCACACGTGTCCTCAGGTGATTGGAGCAGCGGTAATGGTCTACACCCACACTGCTGTCAAGCTCTCTACTCTCTCCCTGACCTTCACCGGGCGGCAAGACATGTCCCGATCTGTGAAGCTGCCAAAGGAGCAGATCGACCGACTCATCCACATGCTGTCAGACGAGCACAAGTGAGTCAGACGAGCATAAGTGAGTCAGACGAGCACAAGTGAGTCAGACGAGCACAAGTGAGTCAGACGAGCACAAGTGAGTCAGACGAGCACAAGTGAGTCAGACGAGCACAAGTGAGTCAGACGAGCACAAGTGAGTCAGACGAGCACAAGTGAGTCAGACGAGCACAAGTGAGTCAGACGAGCACAAGTGAGTCAGACGAGCACAAGTGAGTGTGATGGCATAAATAGTTATGCTCGCATGAGTAAGTGTGTATATCTTTCATTCCTGTAAATGAGTCGGTTAATCTGTGAAGCTGCCCAAGGAGCAGATCCACCGATTCATCCACATGCTGTCCGACGAGCACAAGTGAGTGTGTTAGTTAAAGCTTCTTTTTTTTTTGTGTGTGTGTGCATGATATATGCTGTCAGACGAGCACAAGTGAGTCACCAAGCATAAGAAAGTGTGTTAGCATTGGTGAATGCGTGTGTCTCAAGCATATCTTTTAGTCCTGTGAGTGACTCAGTTGATATGTGAAGCTTTGGAAGGAGAAAATTGACCAAACCTTTCGCATGCTGTCAGACAAGCATAAGCCTGTCAGTTTTATCAAGTCATAATTTCCTCTGCTTATGCTGTCCGACGAGCACAAGTGCGTGTGCATAAGTTATATCATCTAGTGTTGTCAATGGGTCGGTTGATCTGTGAAGCTTCCCAAGGAGCAAATCGACCGACTTATCCACATGCTGTCAGACGAGCATAAGTTAGTCGCTTAGCTTAAGTAACTTTTTTTGTTGTGCATATGTTGTTCATGCACACCAGAAAAACTGTCGCATGCCAAGCGACCACGTTTTCTAGCATGCTAACCTCTGCTTCCTCCCTGCTCGTGCCTGTCCCATCTCTCCCCACCTTCCAGGAAAGTTCTCTTCAACGTGGCGTGTCGCAGGCTACGCCTGGCCTTTCAGATTGCCACGGGGCACTTCCAGCCTCAGACCGTCGGTGCTGCAACTCCCGCTGCTGCCAGTGCCAGCAGCACCAGCACTGGCGGCGGCAGCAGCAGTGGTGGTGGTGGATTCGGGCCGGTGTACCCGTTACAGAGTCGCATCAACGATGTGATTTTCATCATGCATGAGGCTCGGAACGCACCTAAGGTCCGGGAGCACTGCCGGGAGTGGCTGGCGGGTCGGGGCGTGGTGATTGACAATGTGGAGCCGCACTCACAGCCTCACTTGCTCCCTCATCAGGCATGGCCTCTCGGGCACGGGGCACAGCAGCCACAGACCCTGCGGTAACCATCTTGCCACTCCTGGGAGTGGCTGGCTGGCTGGCGGCTCGGTGTGTGGTGTGGTGATTGACGATGCGGTGCCGCACTCCCAGCCTCACTTGCTCCCTCACACCCACGCATGGCCTCTCGGGCACGGGGCACAGCAGCCGCAAGCCCTGCGCCAGTAGTTCAGCTGTTGTAGTTTGATGCCAATTGGAAGGAATATCGCTGGGTGTTTGTGTGACCAGGATCCCCACTGGACGATCCTGAATACTAAATAGTGAGGCATTTTTTCCCCCACAGCCACCTCAGGCCTTAACGGTCTGAATAATAACGAACTGTACCCAACGCGGACTTGAAACATAAAGACATACAGTACCGTATCTTACTACTGTTGCTATATCATCTCCACTAGCTGTCATGTGGTCCACAACACAAAGGAGGCGCGACAGGGTTTAGTGAAGACAACATGACAAGGAGCACAGGGGTTGGCTGTCACCCTTGCTGATTCTTGGCCTGCCGTATCTGGCTTCTGAAAAAAGGATATACTACCGTACAATTTCCGTGCAATTGCTCCAGAACATATCGAAAGACTTCCAGGAGGAGACTAGCCCTCTCTTGCTGAACAGAAGCAACATCCGTAGCCATGAGTGCAGTGAGAAGGGCAGATGCATTGTGGTGAGTGGTATGCAGGGCGACAGCTGGCGGCACGTAATTGGGGTAGACGACGAGCAGGCCTGCGGTCATCTCAAGGGCCAGATTTGGGGAAGAGGAGTGAGAGGGAGAGGTGGAAGAGGGCGAAGAGGGCTGCAGACAGCATGGCAGCGTCGATCCTGAAGGAGAGTGAAGCAGGAAAGGGGATAGCGCAGGAAGGTGAATTAGTTAAACAAGACTTGGCCTGCTGTCTTGAGTTGACTAGCACAAATCGACCTGACTTACATTGATTTCAGTTCTGGGTACCACGACAGGCAAGGGAGAAGTGGAATTGAATTGCTGGGAAAGTGTGTGTGCTTGGGGAGGCGTGAAAATTACCAGAAAAAAAGGCCGCAGCTGTCGGCGCAGCCTTGCCCAACTTCTACTTCCGAGCCTCTCACCAGCCTGCCTCTCACCTGCCAAGCTCCTCTTGCAGGGCCGTGAGCAGCAGCCCTCTGAACAGCAGCTCCTCTGCTACAGCCGGCGCCACCGCCACTCACAGGAACAGCTGTAGCAGGTCCAGCAGGGGGAGGGCTGTGGCAGCGTAGCAGAGGCAGCCGTAGCAGAGGCAGCCGTAGCAGCCACACCCCTTCCTGTCCCATATGGCAGCAACAGAGGACCCAACAACAATGCTGTAGCACTCACACCATTCCCCCCTCCTCCTCCTATTTCTGCTGCTGGTTATGCTATTCCCCATGCCGCCTCCCCTCCCGCACCTGTTTTAAGAGAGATTAAAGAGAAGAGCAGAGCCCATAGAACAGGTCCCCCACCGTCCCTGCCACAATCACCTTCCATCAGCTATCTTTTCCCCCTGCTAACACTCCCCTCTCCCCGTCCCCATCCCCCCTATCAGTTGTTGATGCAATGGCGATTTTTAAAGAGAGGGGTTGATGTGGAGAGACAAACACAGGAATCAGGCATTGGCACACACCCTCACACTCAAACATGGGCTCTGAGGCCCGCAGCACACTGGAAGCCGAAGAACCCTATTAGCAGCAGCTTTACAGTTTGACCCCAAACTTCTCCTCGAACTGCTCATCTGTACATAGGAGAAACTGCTGCAAGCACACCATTTTCTTTGACCCCTCCAAATCCAGAAGCTGCCGCTCCGTACCAACTCTCTCCCCTGGTTCACCATTGCCCCCGACAACCCCAAACAACTGCCCAATCTTCCCTTCTTCCGCTCCCCATTCAATCCTCTCTACCCCCTCCACTTCGTCAGACACAGAACCTAGCTTCCTCCTCTCTTTCCCAGCTGCAATTGAAACACCCCTCTTGCCTCCACTCGTCCGAATAGCCATTTCGTGTGTCACAACCTCATGGCCCATTCGCACCAGTGCTACATGCCGCGGTCTGATTCGCTGATCCAAACTGTACCCAAGAAAGATAGGAAAGGCAACCACCTCCATCACAGGGAGCCCCATGTCCCGTTTTAAGTACTCCACCTTGGGCTTCAGATTCGTTTTCCATCTGCAGTGGATAGATGATGGGTACCTCACAACCAAATCCACCACCAACTGACGAGCCCTGCATCTCTCAACACTTCGTGTTGCTGAGAGAAGTGCACGAGAGTTATTTTGCATACCTCCATCACCTTCCCCCAACCTTTGCATACCACTTCCCTCTTCTCCACTGCTCTCCAATGCCTCTTCCACTTCGCGCACAAGCTCTCCGAAACTTTCCCTCATGCCATCTACACTTGAAGCTATTACCGGAGGAAATCGTGCCATCGCCCGCACAGCATTCTCGCGCCCAAGTAAATCAGCCAATACCGCCACCTTGCCTTGCACGTTCTCCTTCGATAGATGCAGAACCGTCGGGTGACTCCTCGCCATTCTCCCTGCTGCTTCCTCCCCCAGCAGCTCCACAAAGAACTGGAGCTTAGCTAAGAGATTTTCTTTGCTGAGACCAAGGATGCTGGGGGCATGACGGAGCACAGAGCTCGCAATGGAGGGGGTGCCTGGGGGAGTGAAGGACTGGAGAATGGCGATATTCTCTGCAATGCGATACGGAGGAGTTGAGAAAATGACTGGCCAGCACAGGATAAGCCTACTTAGGTGGTTCTTGTCCAGATTCGGCTCATCTAGTCGCTGCCTCAGGGGGCTTGCGCTGGTGCCATCTGCTTCTACATTCCCTCCACATTTCGCCTTAAAATGTGCTGACAGCATCTCAAGGTGAGTATTCACTGCCTCTTTTCTCCGAGTCAAGATGGCTGGATACCCCTCGATAACCGCACCCAGCTTGTCCACAGGAACCCCTGCTCTCTCCACCAGAATGTCCAGGTTCGTTGAACGTGCCTCCCACCAGAGTACGCCCCGTCCGTACACGAGCACAGAGCCCAATCTGCTACGGCGAACGCCTTGAGCCAAAAGAAACTCAAGATTGTTCCGAATCCGTGCAAGGGGGACTCGAAGCCAGGCTGGTTCCCTCACAGTGATGTGCGCGATATCGGCATCAGATATGCCATATGACCGGAGGAGACGGACACGTGGCAGGAAGTCACTGGTGGGATTGGAGCGGAGGAGTTGGGGCTTATATACGAGGACGGAAGCGACAGTGGAAGGGGAGGAAATACCGAGGTGGGAGGAGAAGAAGCGGTAGAGGGAGAGGAGGGAGGAGGGAGATACGACCCGTCGGCCGTTGAGTAGAGGAGGGGGCGTCGGAGGAGATGTAGCGCCGGGCGCATCCTCTTCACACGATCCTGCTTCTTCGTCTTCTTCCTCCCAATATCCTTCTACACCCCCCTCCTCCTCTTCCTCCTCCTCCTCATTTCCTCCATCTGCCTCTTCCGCCTCTTTCACTGTTCCCACGACCAATCTGTCCCCACTGCTTCTTATTCCACTCTCCCAATCCTCCACCTCTCTCACAATCTGAGGCCCGAATCTCTTCCTCAGCACTCCAGCAATCACTGCCACTGCCTCCTCCTCCTCCTCCTCCTCCTCCTCCTCCTCCTCCTCCTCCTCCTCCTCCTCCTCCTCCTTGCAGCCTTTCCTCCCATAGCTCTTCCGCTTGTCTCCCTCACGCTTCCCCGCGGCATTCCCGGCTATTACCCTCTCAACCCTCTCATCAACAACTCCCTTTTCTCCCCCTTCCACTTTCCTGATGCGCCTCTGCCCTCCTCGCCGATCCCCCCTCTCCTCGTCCTTCACTGTGCACGTTTTCAACTCCGCTTGCACCGCTACTCGAGGGTTGATCCCAGAAACAGCAGTCTCCGCCTCGGAAGCTTCTGCGCCTGCTGGCCTGGAAGACGCAGCAGTGGCAGACCATGCCGAGAAGCCTCGGTCGTGGGATGAAAACGTCTTGTGGGACGCCTCGAAGCTTCGGCCAGGGCTTCGGATCTGATATAACGCGTTTCGCGCAGGATCGTTTGGATTCGATTTGATCCGATCGATGCATGGCGAGAGAGGAACAGAACTTCGCGATGCGATTCGGTGCGTTTGGGACGTCTCACTAGTATTATATCTGAAAATCCGTTCGACAGATGGCCGTGACGTATGAGGAAGGACCAGCCATAGCGACCGGCGAGCTGATCTCCGCGAGGCGGCGTAGAAGTTCATGAATTCGTTAATTTCGTTGCATTCGTCGAATTCGTCGAATCCGTCCAATCCTCCAGAACGTGTATGCCTAAGTCCTTCGTGTAATCTTCGTGTGACCTTAGCTGGCTAGGGACGCGAAACGTGAAGGCGAATTCGCCTGTACGGATAAGATAATCGCAATCTCGAAACGTTCAGATAACACCTATCTCAGTGGATAACACTATCTTCGTGTGACCTTAGCTAGCTTCTGGCCCAGTCCGTGATCTGCGTAGTGCTCTTGTTCAGTGTCGAAGTGCTGGGTTCCTCAGGACTAGCGATCAGGCAAATGAGATGATCACAAAGCTCAGGAGGAGCCTCGTCAGGTGCTCCACGTTTTGGAACGCTTGAATACGTTTACAGCGTGGTTGAGTTGGGTGCTAAGCAAAATTCTGCTGTCTGTCCTGATGCGAATCAATTTTCTGTAGGGGCTTCAGGGTTGGCCGAACGAAACGAGCTGCTGATGCTGTTTTCGCTAGCAACTGTAACTGTGGTTGGTTCGCATCTCTACATCGCGAGATACATGCGATGCAATTTTGTTCATCCGGCCTAGAAGCATGATTCGCATTGTCGCAACGAGGTGTAGCGTGCGACCTTGATCCCCGGATATACTATCAGATTTTGAGGAACATTTTCCCAACAGCCACCTCAAGCCTTGCTGTGTTTGTATGGTGTTTTACTCACGCAAAAAGAACTGCCGTAAGTTTACACAAGGTGAGCTCAATTAAAAAAAAACGCTTCAAACTCAGTTTCTTTGTATCTACGCATACACTGTGTGATGTGACGCCATCTCTAACATACTGTAAGGAAAATCGATTTTCCTTACTCCGCACCCCTGCTCAACGCGTACATCACTGTAGCACCACAGTCAGCACCGTTACCACTCGCGATCCTCGCCTCGACAATCAGCCCGCCATTTTCACACATCGCATCCCAACCTCACGGCTCGGCTGGTAACCCGCGCTACGGGCCTCCACTTTGACACTTTCCCAAACCTCAGTCCCAGGCCCGTCGCGCGACAACCACAGTCCATTACCGTTACCACTGTAGTTTCGCTATACATTCTTCGCGCATGCCTTCGCTCATTTGGACTCTTGCTTCGATAGTGCAATTCTCGTTCATTCACTCAATTGCACTCGTAACACTTGGTATTCAGAGCCTATGATCTCCTCTCGGACCGCACCCACATTTTCGCTTCCCCACTATCTCAATTTTTTGGGGGGGGGTAGACGTCTCTCAGCGATATAGCACTGCCGCTCGTAGTGCTCTCTCGTAAGCACGCACGGCCACGACCGAGGCTTTCGCTGAGCTCGCCCGACACCCCCGCCATGGCCGATTTCACGCTCGCCACATTGACGCAGGAGCAGCTTGATCGTCTCGTGCGCCAACTTGAAGACTCGGCGCTCGAAATCGCGACGCTCACGGCGGAACGAGACCCCGCCCGTCAACAATCCACGGTGAACATTCCCGCAACATCACACGCACCGACAAATGCATCTGCACAATCGGACGAGCCGATCATCATTTCATCCGGCACACCAACGCAACACGACAGCATGGGACAACGCTCATATGCAGCCAGTGATGGTGCCGCCCAGCCGATGCCGGGCATGGGAGGAAGTAGGGTCGCACCAAGCCCGCGGGAGCCCCGTGAAGCCCGTCGGCACGTGGAATTCGCGGCGACAAGTGGCGAACAGGCCATTATGGCACCAATGCCGCTCAAGCCACAACTCCCGCCCTGCTTCGACCCAAGCCAACGTGGAGGTCCGACGGTTCAATCGTGGGTCTTCACGATGAACGTCTTCTTCGACGCGAATTACGTCGAGTCGGACGCCGCGAAGATTCGGTGTGCAGTTTCGCTGCTAAGGGGCCCCGCCATGGACTGGTGGCGAGTCATCGTGACGTCGCCACGCGCCTACGAGCCACCGTCGCACGAGGAAGGGCCCACGGGTCCAGCTGCCACCTGGAGTTCGTTCTGCGAGACCGCCCAATACAGCACGTGGGATGCGTGGTGCGCAGGGCTTCGGGCGCGCTTCGAGCCGATTGCGGCTTCCATTTCGGCGCGCTAGAGACTACGCACTTGGCGGCAACTCGGGTCGGTTCAAGATTATACGAGCGGTTTTCTCGCACTATGCGAGCAGGTCGGCTATATGCACGAAGCGGAGCGGGTGGACTGTTACGTGGGAGGGCTGAAGCTGGATATCTCGCACGAAATCATGCTGCGCGGACTCTCCAACTTCAACGAGATTCTCGCGTTCGCCGAGAAAATTGACATTCTACGCCGGCGGAGACCGGGGTCCTACTACGGACATCGCCCTCGGGGACCGACCGAGCACGCCACTGTACACGCCGTTGCAGAAAATGCAGCTGCCGCACCATTTAAGGGGCGCTGCTTTGCTTGCAACAGGCCGGGCCATCGCAAGAGCGAATGCCCAGAGGAGCTGAGGCGCCGCGGAGCAGAGCAGGGGAGGGAGTCTCAGAGGCAGGGAAACGCCAGCAGTTAGTAGAAGTTGGGCCAACTACTGACGAGACTGCCTGCTCGCCCAACCTCACAAACCCTCACCGAGTCACAGTACCGATTCACGCCATCGATCGGGCTCGGATGAATAAGTAGGGTACAGCGACGGATTGCCGAGTACTGATCTACGGGAAAATACAGGGAGCAGCAGTGAAGATTTTTATTGATGGAGGAGCGAGTTACAGTTTAGTAAATACCGCAACCGCACGAAAACTACAGTTAACACTTAACCGTTGCTTACCTGAGATAGACGCACGCTTAGTCGACGGCACGCCACTTGCCGTACGGGAAAAGGTGGAGCGAGTAAAAGTCCGCTGCGGAGGGAACTTCGGGTTTACACAGGAAATGCTCGCAACGACACTGGATGGGCACGACATATTATTGGGACGTGATTGGCTGCGACGGTATAACCCGCGAATTGACTGGACAACGGGTAGCTGCACCGTGCGAAGTAGTGGTAACTGGGTCGAACTACCTCGCTGGCAATCGCCCGAGTCTTCAACGGTCCACGTCAACGCCATCACGATGAAACGGGTTGTCGCCGCTGGAGCTGACGTGTACGCAGTGGATATAGCATTAGTGGAAGAAGAGGAGCAGCCGAGCGATTTTCAGAAACTGTTGGCAGCAGTACCGCCCGACCTTCAGGAACTGTTGAAACAGTACCCGGGGATTTTTCCAGACGACTTACCGCAAGGGCTGCCACCTCAGCGGGCGCATGACCATAGGATCGAGTTAGAATCGGGGGCACAGCCAACTGTACAGTGCCAGTTCAGGCTGACACAGCCCGAGCTCGACGAACTGAGGAAGCAGTTAGATTATTTGTTAGAGAAGCAGTTTATCCGACCGAGCTCGTCACCATTCGCCGCACCGATCTTGTTCACACCGAAAAAAGACGGAGGGTTTCGCATGTGCATCGATTACCGAGCGCTTAACAGGGTAACAGTCAAGTCGCGGTACCCCATTCCCCGCGCCGACGAACTGATCGACCAACTGCGAACAGCACGGGTCTTTTCGAAAATAGACTTACGGGGAGGTTACCATCAGATTCGGGTCGAACCGTCGGACTGCGCCAAGACCGCATTTAGGACTAGGTACGGGTCGTTCGAATACACGGTGATGCCTTTCGGGCTGACAAACGCACCCGCAGCATTTCAGATGACCATTAACGAGGCGTTTAGGCCACTCTTAGATCAATGCGTGATAGTTTACCTCGACGACATCCTCGTTTACAGTCGCGACAAGCAACAGCACTTAGTAGATCTCGAAGCAGTGTTTAAAATTCTAGAGTGACATCGGCTACTCACCAAGAGCTCTAAGTGCGAGTTTTTTCGGGACAGGCTAGAATTTTTAGGGCACGTTATTTCGGAGGCTGGAGTTGAAATCGACCCCAAGAAGCTGGATACGGTCCAAGCGTGGCGTCCCCCGACGAACATCACGGAGCTGCAGAGTTTTTTAGGGTTCGTTAATTACGTTCATCGGTTCGTCCCCGACATGGCACGATTAACCGCCCCGCTGACTGATCTGCTACGCAAGGGGGTCGCTTTTACGTGGGGGGAGAAAGAGCATGCTGCCTTCTCTGCCCTGAAAAATGTCCTCTGTTCACCACCTGTCCTGCGCATCGCTGACCCACATCGCCCCTTCGAAGTTGTTACAGACGCAAGCGACATCGCCATTGGAGCCGTACTGTTACAGGACTTCGGCAACGTCCTACAGCCCATCGCATACGAATCACGAAAACTGCATCCGCCCGAACGGAATTACCCGATACACGACCGCAAAATGCTCGCGATCGTGCACGCGTTCAAAGTGTGGCGCTGTTACTTGACCGGCGCAGACGTGACAGTACGGACAGACCATCGATCCCTACAGTACCTCCGCGCATAGCCCCACCTCAACCCACGACAGATTCGGTGGCTTGACTTCCTCGAGACAAATTTCCACTACACAGTCACCCATAAAAAAGGAGCCTCGAACATTGCCGACGCACTGACCCGCCCCACTGCCCAGATCCATGCGATACTACTCGCCCAGACCAACCCGCTACTGACAGGACTATTTACCCACGGATACCAAACGGACTCATTCTTCACAGGAGGAAACTCGCAGCAATTTGCAGCAGCCAATGCAGTCTATTATGTAAAAGCCGGGATCGAACGCATCTGGGTACCAGGGTACACACTGCTACGGGAATTACTGTTACAGGAGGCACATGACGGAGTTACCTCGGGGCATTTCGGAGTAGAGAAAACACGGCAGCAGCTGCAGCGGAATTATTATTGGCCCGAAATGTTGACCGGCGTACAACGACACGTGGCATCGTGTCCCTCTTGCCAGATCATGAAGTCAACCCGGAAGCGGCCGGCGGGACAGTTGCAACCAATCCCACCCCCAGAGCGTGCTTGGTAGCAGGTGACGATTGACTTCGTCACGGGGTTACCGGCCGTAGCGAGTGGGAATGACGCGATCCTGGTCGTCGTCGATCGACTGACAAAAATGGCACACTTCGCAGCCTGCAAGAAATCAATCACAGCCGAAGAAACAGCCCGCCTCTTCATCTCCACCGTCGTTCGACTGCACGGGATACCAGCATCAATCATCAGCGACAGAGACACGAAGTTTACCAGCAACTTCTGGCGGAACATGTGGCAGCAGTTCGGCACGCGACTACAGTTTAGTTCATCATATCACCCCGAAACAGACGGACAGACATAACGGACAAATCAAACCATGAAGCAACTCATCAGGGCCACGTGCGACGATCCAAACACGTGGGAGCAACAACTGCCACTCATCGAATTCGCATACAACAACGCCCCATCCGCCACGACCCAACAGTCACCGTTTTACCTGAATTACGGACAAGACCCAACAGTACCCATGACCCCGAATCCTGACAACCCGGTTCCACGTGCGCAACAGTTCGCTGAAATTCTGCAAGCAGCACGGACCAGGGCAGCAGTCGCAATAAAAAAAATCAAACATCATCGCTAAACGCAACGCCGACCGCCACCGCAGACCTGTCACTTACCAGCCCGACGACCTAGTTTTGCTCGACACTCAGAATCTCCGACTGCCCATCACACCCAAACTCCGCCCCCGATACTGTGGGCCATTTCGTATCAGCCACATGATAACACCCGTCACCGCCCACCTCCTCCTCCCTACTGACTGGTACGTCAGCCCCTCGTTCCACGTTAGCCTGCTTCGCCCCTACGTCCCATCCACAAGCCAACTCCCACGCAATCGCCCAGCCAGCATGGCACGACCGCCAACCGAACCAATCATCGTCCCCGACAAAATCCTGAGCCACAGAGTTTGTGACCCTCGAGGAGCCCGAAAGATCGAGTTCCTGATCCGTTGGAAAGACCGTACACCCACCGAAGACAATTGGGTTCCCCTGGACAGAATCGAAAACCACCCTGTTCTTACCGAATATCTGCGCAGCCGAAACTTCAAGGACGTCCACGCACTTTCGTAAGGAGGACCTCCTTAGGAGGGGGGGGGGGGGGGGGTAGTGTAAAGAAAATCGCTTTTCCTTACTTCGCACCCCTGCTCAACGCGTACATCACTGTAGCACCACAGTCAGCACCGTTACCACTCGCGATCCTCGCCTCGACAATCAGCCCGCCATTTTCACACATCGCATCCCAACCTCACGGCTCGGATGGTAACCCGCGCTCTGGGCCTCCACTTCGACACTTTCCCAAACCTCAGTCCCAGGCCCGTCGCGCAACAACCACAGTCTATTACCGTTACCACTGTAGTTTCGCTATATATTCTTCGCGCATGCCTTCGCTCATTTGGACTCTTGCTTCGATAGTGCAATTCTCGTTCATTCACTCAATTGCACTCGTAACACATACACCGATGCCTTAAGTATCTTACTGGTGCTGCCATACCATAGGTGTTCCACTAGCTGTCTTGTGGTCCACATGGGAAGAACCACAGTAGATTTATTCCTCTCTTATTGCTGCTCTTGCTCTATCCTAAACCCTGACGAGGTACTTGATTGTTGACTCATGGGACCTTTCTGATATCAGCTCAATTTTTACAGTTTGACCCCACGGCTCGTCTGTGCCCCAAAGAAACTGCTGCAAGCACACTGTTTTCGTTGCCGCCTCCAGATTCACAAGCTGATGCTCCTGGACATCTCTCCCTCTTGGCTCATCATTCCTGGAAAAAAACTGAAGCAACAGTTCATTGCCACAATCCTCTCCTTGGCACTGCTGCTCTTGCCTGTCACCCGTTCCTTCACTCTTCTTTTTCCCGCTCCGCATTCAATCCTCTCTCCCCCCTCCACTTTGTTAGACACAGTACCCAGGTGGCTCCTCTCCTCTCCAGCTCTCGTCGAAACACCCTTCCTGTCTCCAGCACAACCATAGCCCATTCGCACCAGCAAGCAGGCCGGCGGCAATCCCATGGGCCATGTTGGGGAAGAGGAGGGAGAGGGAGAGGTGGAAGAGGGCGAAGAGGGCTGCAGAGAGCATTGCAGCGACCATCCTGCGGGAGAAAGAGGCATGGAAGGGGATAGGGCAGGGAGGAAAGAAGGGGAAGGATACAGGATAGACGATATAATGCGCATGAAGATAGGAAAGAAAGAGGGACATACGCCACTGCTGGACGCGGACTCTACCAATCCAGCTGCACTGCCCCAACGCCTGGCCGCCGCGGAAGCCAGTCTTCCCCCCTCAACAGTGGCTGTGATGAAGGTCGGGAGAGAGAAGGGGGACGGGCTGAAGCTGCAACACGCACTGGCGCTGCACGTCCACTCAGCTAAGGCTGTCGCCGGCGTCCGTAGCAGCCGGCGCATGTCCCCGAACCCGCTCATGGGCCACATGCAACGCCTCCTATCCCTCCTCGGACCAGGAGGCGGCGATTGGCTGGCGGCACTGCCCCTGACGAGCGCCCTTCGACTCTGCCCCGCCCAGTACTCCCAATCCATCCTCTTCCGCTTGGGCCTCCCCCACCCAATCCCGCGCCAATGCGACTGCACCAAGGCTGTCATTGCCAAACCACCTGCTGCGCTGTGGGACAGGGAAGGGACGGACGAGCTCGCACCATGCCCTGCGGGATGAATGCGCCCGCATAGCCAAAGAAGCAGGTTACCCAGTCCACAAGGAAACAGCGCAGTATACGCCGGTCGAAAACCTATTCGCGGACCTCTCGATCCGCGATCCCATCACCGGCCGTATACACATCTGTGACATCACTGTCACCGACCCCATCTCAAAATGCGACAAGTGTCAGAATGTTATTTGTCTAGCCTGCATTGGGGTGCTCAATACTGAGTACAACCCTTTAGGGTTTTCTATTTGTATATCCCAACTCTTGCTAGTCACACCTTTTTCCTTCCCTTCCAAATCTCTCGATACTCTCCCCTAGGAGAAACTCACTCGAACTCACCTACCTCCTAGTGTGGGCCTAGGCTACTAAGCCTAGGCCCCACACCTACTATTTTGTCTTGGTATCTAGAGCGAGCATGTTCCTGCCGCCTAGCTTAACGGGCCCACCAACGTCTTCCGCTGCCCTACTGTCCGCCGCGCGCCCCGTGGCGCGCGGCTCTGCATTTTCTTCCCGCCACGCGCTCCGAGCGCGTGGCGGCTTTTTTCTGCCCGCCGCGCGCTCGGGGCGCGCGGCGGTTTTCCCGTCCATCGAAGCGCCCTTGGGGGGGCTTGCGCGCTGCCCTCCCCGCTGCTCGTCACGACGCCCGCGCGGGACCTGCGGGGCGTCGCCCCTAGTCGTCGCGACGACCCTACGGGACCCGCGGGGCGTCGCCCCTGCTCGTCGCGACGTCCGTGCGGGACCCGCGGGGCGTCGCCCCTACTCGTCGCGACGCCCCCTGTGGGACCCGCGGGGCGTCGCCCCTGCTCGTCGCGACGCCCCATGCGGGACCCGCGGGGCGCCGTCAGTTCCTGCAGCAGCAGCCGCCGCCGGCCTGCAGCAGCAGACGCCGCCGCCCTGCAGCAGCAGCCGCCGCCAGGCCTGCAGCAACAGACGCCGCCGCCCTGCAGCAGCAGCCGCAGCCAGGCCTGCAGCAGCAGCCGCCGCCAGGGTCTGCAGCAGCAGCCGCCGCCAGAGCCTGCAGCAGCAGCCGCCGCCAGAGCCTGCAGCAGCAGACGCCGCCAGGCCTGCAGCAACAGACGCCGCCGCCCTGCAACAGCAGCCGCCGCCAGGCCTGCAGCAGCAGCCGCCAGGCCTGCAGCAGCAGCCGCCGCCAGAGCCTGCAGCAGCAGCTGCCGCCAGAGCCTGCAGCAGCAGCCGCCGCCAGAGTCTGCAGCAGCAGCCGCCGCCAGAGCCTGCAGCAGCAGCCGCCGCCAGCGCCTGCAGCAGCTGCCGCCCCTGGACCCGGTACGCCCTGTGCTGCCCGTGCCTGTGCTGCCCGTGCCTGTTGCTGCCCGTGCCTGTGCTGCCCGTGCCTGTTGCTGCCCGTGCCTGTGCTGCCCGTGCCTGTTGCTGCCCGTGCCTGTGCTGCCCGTGCCTGTGCTGCCCGTGCCTGTGCTGCCCGTGCCTGTTGCTGCCCGTGCCTGTGCTGCCCGTGTCTGTGCTGCCCGTGCCTGTTGCTGCTCGTGCCTGTGCTGCCCGTGCCTGTGCTGCCCGTGCCTGTTGCTGCCCGTGCCTGTGCTGCCCGTGCCTGTTGCTGCCCGTGCCTGTGCTGCCCGTGCCTGTTGCTGCCCGTGCCTGTGCTGCCCGTGCCTGTGCTGCCCGTGCCTGTGCTGCCCGTGCCTGTGCTGCCCGTGCCTGGTGCTGCCCGTGCCTGTGCTGCCCGTGCCTGTGCTGCCCGTGCCTGTGCTGCCCGTGCCTGTTGCTGCCTGTGCCGGTGCTGCCCGTGCCTGTGCTGCCCGTGCCTGTGCTGCCCGTGCCTGTTGCTGCCCGTGCCTGTGCTGCCCGTGCCTGTGCTGCCCGTGCCTGTGCTGCCCGTGCCTGTTGCTGCCCGTGCCTGTTGTTGCCCGTGCCTGTGCTGCCCGTGCCTGTGCTGCCCGTGCCTGTTGCTGCCCGTGCCTGTGCTGCCCGTGCCTGTTGCTGCCCGTGCCTGTTGCTGCCCGTGCCTGTGCTGCCCGTGCCTGTTGCTGCCCGTGCCTGTGCTGCCCGTGCCTGTTGCTGCCCGTGCCTGTGCTGCCCGTGCCTGTTGCTGCCCGTGCCTGTGCTGCCCGTGCCTGTGCTGCCCGTGCCTGTGCTGCCCGTGCCTGTTGCTGCCCGTGCCTGTGCTGCCCGTGCCTGTGCTGCCCGTGCCTGTTGCTGCCCGTGCCTGTGCTGCCCGTGCCTGTGTTGCCCGTGCCTGTTGCTGCCCGTGCCTGTGCTGCCCGTGCCTGTTGCTGCCCGTGCCTGTGCTGCCCGTGCCTGTGCTGCCCGTGCCTGTTGCTGCCCGTGCCTGTGCTGCCCGTGCGTGTTGCTGCCTGTGCCTGTGCTGCCCGTGCCTGTGCTGCCCGTGCCTGTGCTGCCCGTGCCTGTGCTGCCCGTGCCTGTTGCTGCCCGTGCCTGTGCTGCCCGTGCCTGTTGCTGCCCGTGCCTGTGCTGCCCGTGCCTGTTGCTGCCCGTGCCTGTGCTGCCCGTGCCTGTGCTGCCCGTGCCTGTTGCTGCCCGTGCCTGTGCTGCCCGTGCCTGTGCTGCCCGTGTCTGTTGCTGCCCGTGTCTGTGCTGCCCGTGCCTGTTGCTGCCCGTGCCTGTGCTGCCCGTGCCTGTTGCTGCCCGTGCCTGTGCTGCCCGTGCCTGTGCTGCCCGTGCCTGTGCTGCCCGTGCCTGTGCTGCCCGTGCCTGTGCTGCCCGTGCCTGTGCTGCCCGTGCCTGTTGCTGCCCGTGCCTGTGCTGCCCGTGCCTGTGCTGCCCGTGCCTGTTGCTGCCCGTGCCTAGTGCGCTCTGCTACTGTCTGCGCCCCCGTTTCCGGGTATGGGGGTGGCTGGTGTGCATTCCTCCCTTTCCTCCTCCTCCTTCGTCTCCCACTGCTGCAGCTGTCGCTGAGGGGGGTGGTTGTGTGGGAGACTGGGGTTTAGGGTTTAAGGGGGGTGCGTGGGAGTGGAGCTAGCGGTGTAGCAGCGGGTGTGTGTCAGGGGGGGTGGGACTGTTTGGGGAAGCTGCATGGAAGTTGCCGTCCTGTAGTCCGCAGCACCTGTAGTCCGGGGCGCTGTCCCGGTAGCCCAGTGAGCTAGACTTCTACGCCAGCCGCCCGTGGGTCCGTTGCCCGTCTGCCGCTGCTTGAGCCGCGGGGCCTGTTACTCCTGTAGTCCGGGCGCTGTCCGGTAGCCGCTGTGCCAGTCTGCCTCCTGTTGCCCGTGTGTCTGCAGCTTCAGCCGTCTCCTCCTATCTCCTCTCCCCTCACTCTCTCTCCTCCTCCTCACTTGCCCGTTGTGACTACCACTAGCTTTGCTCATAATTCTTAACTTTAAACTATTGCTTCTTTAACTTGTGCTCAGAATGTGTGGTGACATTGTGATCCACCCTGAGCTTGTACTACTTTGCCTACTCTGCTGATTACACCCCACTTTGGCTATGGGGGTGTGTCAGAATGTTATTTGTCTAGCCTGCATTGGGGTGCTCAATACTGAGTACAACCCTTTAGGGTTTTCTATTTGTGTATCCCAACTCTTGCTAGTCACACCTTTTTCCTTCCCTTCCAAATCTCTCGATACTCTCCCCTAGGAGAAACTCACTCGAACTCACCTACCTCCTAGTGTGGGCCTAGGCTACTAAGCCTAGGCCCCACACCTACTATTTTGTCAACAAGTATGCACAAAAAGGGACGGGTTGGGCTGCATGTGTGGCCGCAGACAAGAAAGACGGACAAGTACGCAATACGGAATGAATGGGTGGGGTTCATCCACATGGCAGTCGAGACCTACGGCTGTACCTCACCGGGGGTGTTCGAGTTTCTGAAGATGTGCGCCGACCTGGCTGCCAAGCTGCGTTTCAACGCCTCCCCTACCTCAGCGGAAGCAGCCAAGCTGTTCCACGAGTACAGGCAGCGCTGGAGTATCACTCTGCAGCGCGGGCAGGCGCACGCCCTCAATCTGAAAAATCACACGGCAATGGAGGCGGACGAGGCTGGGATTGCGGATGCCATCGAACCCCTAGCTGAAGGTTACCTGTTTCAACTCCTAGAACCCCCGCTTGGACCCCTTGTGGACCAGGCGGGTGGCGAGTAGGATGATTGCCTCACCATCAACCTTGCATGCTTGTATGCATAGTGCTTATTAATACAACGGACCATTCGAGGGACATTGGATTGATGAAAGAGAGCGTGGGCTATGGCAATGGAGGAACCTATTAAACCCAGAAAGAAGGTGGTGCCAAACCTCACTACCGAGCCTCCTGCCAAGCCTCTCACCTGCCGAGCCTCTCTTGCAGGGCTGTGAACAGCAGCCCTCTGATCAGCAGCTCCTCTGCTACAGCCGGTGACACCACCACCCACAAGAACAGCTGTAGCACGTCTAGCAGGGAGAGGGCTGCGGCAGCTGCAGCAGAGGCAGCTGTAGCAGCTACATCCCCTCCAGTCCCATCAAGCAACAACAGAGGACCTAGCAACAATGCTGGAGCACTCTCACACTATCTCCTGCTCCTCCTCCTCCTGCTCCTCCTGCTACTCCTGCCACTAGTTCTGCCATTCCCACTGCCGCCTCGCCGCCAGCACCTATCTTAAGTGACAGTTGAGAGAGAAGAGCGGAGAACGAGCGAGGAATGACAAGCGGAAGAATAATGAAACGTTTTTCTCTTCTCAGGGGTTGTTGCCGTGTTGCCGGTGTTCCAAGAGCAACGCGTGAAAGGCCTACAAGGGTGGTGCAATGGGGGAGTGGCGAGCAGATCGGCAGGACTCACTGTGAATGTGATCATCCCACGTGGCCTGGAGGAGAACAGAACAGAGGGAAGGAGAAAGGTTGGATAATAAGGGAGAGAAGAGAGAAGGATGGAACTACAGAGTAAGCCATACGCAGTGTGGGCATGGAAGAATGTGAAGCTACCCCCATGCCATCATACCATGGCATCACACCCATGCCATAACACCCGTACTCCAGTATATCCACACTGCCATCATATTCCTACCATCACACCCCCCATGCCCTCATGCCCTCATGCCATCATACCATCAGCACCCGAAACAGCTTAATAAGGCGGGTAGACCTCGGCGTTAGCAGCTCCTGGATGGCAATTCTTGTCTCTTCCTTCCTTGCTGCCGTACAAACAGGAGTGCTGTATGGCTCTTCTTGGGGCATCTGCAAGCGCAGTGCAAGCACCAACTGGTGCAGGGCGGACCTGTAGGGAGTAAATGGGGAGATAAGCAGCAAAAGAGTGACTTGACATCTGATTTGACTCAAAGGCCACCTTGTTGGGGCATCCGGGGACGCAGTGCAAGTACCAACTGGTGCAGGGCGGATGTGCAGGGAGGGGAGAACGGAAAGACAAGCAGCGTAAGAGTGAGTTGATACTGACACATGGTATACCTTTGAGATGACTCAGAAATTTACCTGGTTGGGGCACCCGAGGCCGCCGTGCGGGCACCAACTGGTGCAGGGCGGACCTGCAGGGAAGGGAGGGAAAGGAGGTCATGCAGCGTAAGAGTGAGTTGACATCTGTTGAACTTTTGAGTCGAATCGACAGGCACCTGGTTGGTCAGGGGCATCTGTGGGCGCAGTGCAAAGGCGATCGGGTAAAGGAAGGGATACTTATGGGTTCCAGAGCATCTCTCAACTGAAAGCATGGATTTTCACCCTTGGAGGCATCTCAATGAATCGACTCCTCACCTATACCACTGCTCACCTGTACCACTGACCATTTGTACCGCTGCTATTAAAGTAGACTGCTAGCAGGCCAGAGGCAATCCCAAGGGCCATATTGGGGAAGAGGAGCGAGAGGGAGAGGAGGAAGAGGGCGAAGAGGGCTGCAGACAGCATGGCAGTGCTCAACCTGGGGGGAAAGAGGCAGGAAAGGGGATAGCGCCGGGAGGAGAGGAGGGGAGGGATGCAGGAGAGACGATATTAGGCGCGTGAAGATAGGGAAGTAGGAGTGACTTTGGATTGATGGGATCGAGTATGGGCTATGGGGAGGTGAGGAACTAATCAAACCTAGAAAGAAGCAAAACCTCACTTCCGAGCCTCCAGCCAAGAATCTCACCTGCCGAGCCTCTCTTGCAGGGCTGTCAGCAGCAGCCCTCTAAACAGCAGCTCCTCTGCTACAGCCGGCGACACCGCCACCCACAGGAACAGCTGTAGCAGGTCCATCAGGGGAGGGCTGCAGCGGCTGTAGCAGTGCCAGCTGTAGCAGCCACACCCCCTCCGGTCCCATCTGGCAGCAACAAAGGACCGTCACGCTGGATGTAGCACTCACGCTGTCCCCTCCTCCTTATTTTGCTCCTCCTGCTCCTGCTGCTGCTGATAGATCGGGTAATCCCCCTCCCCTTCCCCTGCAGCATCATTAGAAATTTAAAAACTAGAGAGAGAAGCAGAGGCCATAGAATAGGCCCCCCTGCTGTCCCCCCTCCTCCCTTCCAGCACCAGTAGAAAATGCATAACCAGAGAGAAAATCAGAGCCCATATAATAGGTCCCCCCGCTGCCCCTGCCGCTATAACCTTCCATCAGCTATCATTCCCCTCTGCTAACACTCCAGTCTCACTGTCTCATCCCCCCCACAGTGGTTGATGCAGTGGTTGACACAGACATCAGGCACTGGCGCACACCCTCACACCCAGGCATGGACTCTGGGGCACACAGCACAATGGAACCCGAAGAAGCCAATCAGCAGCAGCCCTAAACTTTGACCCCAAACCTTTTCTCAAACTGCTTGTCTGAGCAGTGGAGAAACTGCTGCAAGCACACTGTTTTCCTTGCCGTATCCATGTTCACACGTTGCTGATCTGTAACAGCCCCCACCACTGGCTCGTCATGTCCTAGGAATTCCTCAAGCATCGGTCCACTACCACAATCCTCCCCTTCGCCCTGCTGCTCTTGCCTGCCACCCGCTCTTTCGCTCTTTCTTTCTTCCGATCCCCATTCAATCCCCTCCGCTCCCCCCGCATTGTCAGACACAGCCCCCAGGTTGCTCCTCTCCTTCCCAGCTCTCGTCGAAACACCCCTCCCACCTCCAACACTTGTCTGAGTAGCCCTCTCGCGTGCCACAACCTCATATCCCATTCGCACCAGCGCCAAATGCCGCGGTCTGATTCGCCGATCCAAACTCAACCCAAGAAACCTGGGGTAGGCAACCACCTCCATTATAGAGAGCCCCATGTCCCGTTTTAAGTACTCCACGTTGGGCTTCAGATTCGCTTTCCAACTGCAAGAGATAGATGGCGGGGACCTCACAACCAAATCCGCCACCAACTGACGAGCCCTGCATCTCTCGACACTTAGTGCCCGGGAATCATTTTCCCCTTCCAGACAGTTACCTCTATTACCTTCCCCCAACCGTTGTGTCTCGCTTCCCTCTTCTCCACTGCTCTGCAATGCCTCTTCCACTTCTCGCACAAGCTCTCTAAAAGTTTCCCTTATGACATCTTCACTAGAAGTCATTGACAAAGGAAATCGTGCCACCACCCGCACAGCACCTTCTCGGCCAATCAAATCAACCAATGCCGCCACCTTACCTTGCAGATTTTCCTTCGATAGTTGCAGAACCCCTGTGTAACACCTCACCAGTCTTCCTGCTGTCTCCTTCCCCACAAGCTCCACAAAGAAGTGAAGCTTAGCTAAAAGAGTCTCTTTGCTGTTCCCGAGGATGCTGGGGGCTCGACGAAGCACAGAGCTCGCAACAGAGGGGGTGCCTGGGTGAGTGAAGGACTGCAGGATGGCGATTTTCTCTGCAATGAGATTGGGAGAAGTTGTGAAAATGACTGGACAGTTCAGGATAAGCCTGCTAAGGTGGTTCTCTCAAGTATTTCATGCTGCCTCCGGGAGTGGCCGACTCGGGGATCAAGCACCTGAGGAATATGAAACTGCTCGAGAAGCTGTCGCTGCGGGATGCGAGCATCACTGAGTCAGGCATGAAGTGGCTCAAGGGTCTCAAGTGCCTTCAAAAGGTTGCTACTGATTCTTACGAGATTGAAGAATTGATCAGGGACATTCTCCCTGGGGTGATTGTTACATCGGGTCCCCTCAATGCGTAGTGCAGTAGGTATTCGAAGCGTTTGTGGCTCAATTATAGGCGTAGTGCTGTTAGCTTAACGTCATGCTTATAACAGGTACCAGAACATCCTTGGTAATGTCATGCGAATAGTGTTGTCAAGTTTCCAGGTAAGACAATATCAACAGATACCATGCTTGCCACAGAAAGCTAACAAACAGCTACTGTAGTATTGTAGTACGTACTATAGTGTTGAATTACTGAAATTTAACTTCAAAAGAATCCCTCAACACTTGGGATGAACCGTAAACACTCTTGGTGTACCGTCAGTTAGAGGCGAAGCTACAGTGTACTGTAGCACCCAGTTGTTCACCGCTGCTCCATGCTCCCCGAACCTGTTGACCGCCACCAAGCCTCCCACAAAGGTTGGGAATTTGGCTCGGATGCGACTGATGGCAGCTTCGGCAGCCGAAGCTGGGGAAGAGCCCATTCGCATGAGCTCGACTGCTAGGAAGCTGAAATAGTGAAGGGAAGAGGAATGTGGGAGAGGAGGAAGAGAGGAAGGAAGATGGGATGAAAGAGAGGAGGCTGGGGTATAGCACATTCGCATGAGCTCAACTGCTAGGAACCTGGGCTGGAATAGTAAAGGGAAGAGAAATGTGGGAGAGGCGGAAGAGAGGAACGAAGATAAGACCGAAGTGAGGAGGGTCGGGTTGAGTCCATTCAGATGAGCTCAACTGCTTAAAAGCAGAGATATTAAGGGAAGAGAAACGTGGGAGAGGGGGAAGCGAGGAATGATGATAGGGAGAAAGAGAGAGGCTGGGGTAGAGCCCATTCGCATGAGCTTGACTGCTAGGAAGCTGGAAGAGTGAAGGGAAGAGCAACAAAGGGAAAGCAGCAAGAAAGGAATTAGTGGGCAGAGAGTGGAGGGGTACAGAGGAGTGAGAGGGGGTAGGCTCTATCTAACATGTGTTTATGTGAAAATTCCGTGCAGTGGTTTCCAAATGAAAATTATAGCGATGTCAGCAACTGCTGAGATATCAGTAAGCACACACGGCCATGACGTCAGCATACCATGGCAGGAACCTCATCATGACGTCACCATCTCCTGTTGCCCCACAGCCCCCCACTCTGGAGTCCACATATGCTCCTGCCCCTGCTATGGGTGCATCACCCACCCTGGGAACAATGAGAGGGAACGGACGGAGTGAGTGAGTGAGTGAGCGAGGGAGTGAGAGAGTGAGCGAAGGAGTGAGATTGCATCACCCCTGACAGACAGTGTGTGAGTGGGTGATTTGAGTCGGCGCACAACAATACTGCATTGTCGGCACACCCCTGTCCCACACCCCCCTTTGCTTGATGGAGTGAGTAAGTAAGGGCGTGTTGCACTTGGCGCGTTTGCTCATCTTTCCGCATTTAACCTCGAAAAAACTCTCTAAAAGTTTGAACTTTTGCAAAAGTTTGACCCTGATGCACAAGTCCACATAGGGACCTTGTCTTGCTATAGGAGCAGGACCTTATGGGCATGATGTCGTTAGCATGATGACATGGGTATGTGGTAAGCATGATGACATGGGTATGTGGTAAGCATGATGACATGGGTATGTGGTAAGCATGATGACATGGGTATGTGGTAAGCATGATGACATGGGTATGTGGTAAGCATGATGACATGGGTATGTGGTAAGCATGATGACATGGGGTAAGCATGATGACATGGGTATGTGGTAAGCATTATGACATGGGTATGTGGTAAGCATGATGACATGGGTATGTGGTAAGCATGATGACATGCGTATGATGATATGGCTATTTTGACCTGGGAATGAATGAAGGCATGTGTATGATGACTTGGGAATGAAGACACGGGATAAGAATGGATGATGACACAGATAGCGTTTTGAGTCGACTCAAAAGTCAAATGGATGATGACACAGATAGCGTTTTGAGTCGACTCAAAAGTCAAATGGATGATGACACAGATAGCGTTTTGAGTCGACTCAAAAGTCAAATGGATGATGACACAGATAGCGTTTTGAGTCGACTCAAAAGTCAAATGGATGATGACACAGATTGCGTTTTGAGTCGACTCAAAAGTCAAATGGATGATGACACAGATTGCGTTTTGAGTCGACTCAAAAGTCAAATGGATGATGACACAGATTGCGTTTTGAGTCGACTCAAAAGTCAAATGGATGATGACACAGATTGCAACATACCTCCCTGGGATGTGGAAGGTGAGTCCATTGGTGGATGTCGCTGCTGCCATGCTGCCGTTCTGATGGCATGGGCATGGGGTGATGACGTCATGGGCATGAGGTGATGACGTTATCAGCATAGGGTGATGATGTCACGCACATGGTATGATGATAGGCAAGGTACACATGAGGTAATGACGTCTTGCACATGGAGGCACGGTGATATGGAGGCACGTGTGTATGTGCAGTGCAGTTGAGAGCAGGCAACACATATCAGGCACAAGAGAGTAGGCTTGGGCCGAGACAAAAGAACAGCCCAGAACCTGTCATCTCACCTCACCTCACCCCACCCCATCACACCCCACCTGTGCGATGGCAACCATGGAGATGGTGTCGTGTGACGCCATCCGCCTTGTGCTCCTCAACGACCCTTGCTGCCTGCCTGCCACCACAACAGCCTTGCCTTGCCAAGTCCCCCATCCAGCCTTTCACCGCACCACACCCCACCGCACCGCACCTGTGCGATGGCAACCATGGAGATGGTGTCATGTGATGCCATCCGCCTTGCGCCCCTCAACGAGCCATGCTGCCTGCCTGCCACCACAACAGCCTTGCTCTCATCCAACCACCCCACTGAACCCCACCGCAACTGACCGCACCCCACCGCACCTCACCTGTGCTATGGCGACCATGGAGATGGTGTCGTGTGATGCCAGCCGGTTTCGCCTCCTCGAAGAGCCTTGCTGCCTGCCAACAAGGCTGGGATCACACCCTACGCTCACACCACCACGTCCGGTTGCAGGTCCGGCACCACCAGGTCCGGCTCCAGGTCCGGTAGGAGGTCCGGTAGCAGGTCCGGCACCAGGTGCAGCACCCGCTTCGGCCCCCTGAGGGACGGCTGTTTCACCACCACGTGGTTCAGAAGCAGATGCTTCTGGAGCCGGGCGGTAGGGGCCGCAGGAGCGGGCGGCGTCGGGCGTCACGTTGCGCCAGTAGTTGGGCTGACAGCTGGCGGCCTTCCATTGGCGCCACATGGCGAGAGAGCGATTGGTGGAGAGATTTTCAGGGCCGGGCAGGCCCATTTCCAGGGCGAAGTCTGTTGCTGCATCACCGACCAGTAGCGAGTGATACGTGTGCAAGAGGACAAGATACGCCACCCGCACTGCCGCCTTGACTCGGCGCAGGCCGGCCACTGCCCCCACGTCCATGGAGTCCTTAAGGGGGGGGGGAGGAGAGAGGTGGGAGAGAGAAGGGGGGAGAGATGGGGGGAGAGATGGGGGGAAGAGAATGGGAAAGCCTTGATTCGGCAAGGAGAGTCACTGCCCCCAAGTCTATGGAGTCCTTGGGGGGGAGAGGAGAGGGGCGGGAGAAAGGGGGGGGGGAAACTGGGGGAGATTGGGGGGGAGAGTGGGGGGAAGAGTGGGGGAGAGAGAATGGGAAAGGGGGGATGGGTGGAGGCATGGAGTGGGAAAGCCTTGACTTGACGCAGGCCAGCCACTGCCCCCCGTCCATTGAGAACTTGGGGTAGTGGGGAGAGAGGGGGAGAAGGGGGGGAGAGAAGTTGGGATGGAGGAGACATGGAGTGGGGAAGTTGGGAATTGGAGGGATTGAGGGTTGAAAAAAGGAGGACATGCGGGGGGGAAGGGATGGATGCGGGGAGGGGGGGGGGAGAACGGGTTGGGGGATTACAATCGTCTGAAATTGACTGACACTTACATGACCCAACATGACCCAACTTAGGCTAGGCATACACACAATTGATGATGACACGACATCCTACCACACCATGACGTCATGGATTCGCCCTTTATGACCATGACGTCATCCCATCTCACCCCATGCATGACCATGACGTCATCCCGCCTCACCCCATCCATAACCATGGCATCGAGTGTTGTTTCCCCCTTCTCGTCCGGACTTCCTCCATAACCCACTGAAGGGAAAAGCAGGGGAGAAGGAGTGTGTGAGAAGAGAGTGGAGAGGGGTGGAGGGTTTGCACAAGAAGGGAAAGGAGGGGGGGGCTTGTATGGGGGCTAAGGGGAGGATACACGAGGAGATTGGACGAGATAAGTGGCCGGTGCAAGTTGAAGGAGGGCTCTTAAGATCCAATCCATGCTGACGTGGCACCTGATCCATCGCATTGAAGCACCTCGCACACGTTGCATCCTTCCACCACCGCGTCCAGTGCGGATCCGCCACGTGTCAGTACCTCCCATGCCCGACTATTGGCTTCTAAAAACGGCCACACGTTCACCACCATTGGCCATTGCCTCGCCGAAGAATCAACGGCCGCAAATTGGCGTTCTTCAATTGACGAAGCCGCGCACGGAAAAACAGCTACGAGGAGGAACGACAGCCCGAATAAGAACACAATTTCACGAGTTTTTTCAATCATTTTCCTAAATCTGAGCCGAAGCAATGATAGAGATTGCTGCTATCGCGCCATTTGCCGAATGACTTCGATTTCTGTAAAGAATTTCCGTAGGATGCGGAAACGTGCTTGGCTGGGGGTAGGGGATTTGGTATAAATTGCGAAATTGCGGAGAGTGCACAAATTGCGCGAGGCTCTGCTGAGCGAAGTTCCCGAGAAGCGGTTCAATTGTGGTTCAGCATACATATTCCTCATTTTGTCTGCCTTGAAGTCCTCGCACGGCAGTTTCGAAACGATTCCATCTCGCCAGCCAATGAAGGCGAAATCGTGAGGCGATACTGTCGACGAAATCCGAGGGCGTTTGCACTCGCCCGAAATTGAGCAATCTGTGCGTTGCGAGGAATTCTAGTTCGAGGTGGTTACGACTCACGACTCAAGTTCAATCAGGTGTCAATTGGCATCTGGCGCGGCAAGGCGGCTCAACTCGGTTACAGGATGGCCCCATTCTTTTTTCGCTTGAACCTTTTGCTGAAAATACGCGCCCCAACTGCAGACAAGGTAGTAATATCAAGCAATTTCCTCCACACGATGTGGTTGATTAGTCAGCCAGCACAACTCATTATCTAGTAGGAAAACCAGTTCGTAGGGAAACTCCTTCGCGCCTAGATTAGCTCGCCACTTGCACTTCGATTTTCTCGCATGAGCATTAGGAAACGCGAGCTTGCTCTCTGTCCTGCTCCCTTCCCGTTTTCCCCGATAATGTGGAGAGAGAAGGACGATGCATTTCTGCCGTTTGTGCCCCATTTCGGTGTTCTTTGCCTCCACGAAAGCCTCTATAACGCTGCCATCATGAATCTCCGTTTCCGAAACTTCAAGTTCCTCTTGACGTTTCTCTACTTGTTTCAGTCATCACTTGGCGACGGCCGTCCTCTTCGTTCTGGCAAAGGACACTTCTCAAATAGGCTCGATTGGGCGCGCTTCGACGTCTTCTTCCTTCTCGTGCGTTACTTGTTAAACTCTCTGTTTTTTTTTTTTTTTTCTCGTTTAGTACTTCGTATTCCGTCTTATGCAATTTTTAATAGAACAACCAGGCTGATCCTTCATAGAGGTCAGGCATTGCTCCTCTTTATCCGACTCTGCATCGAGCAGCCGGTTTCAACCAGGCTGATTATTTGCTGAGTGTTTTTTTGCTTCAGGATGGCCACTTGAGCCGAAAACAAGTTGGTCCAGGTGCAGGAAACGTCTACTACAAACAAGTAAGCATTCCCGGGCGGGGTACGGTGTTGCAACGTGTACTTCCATCTTGTAGTCCATTCGTCCGTACCTTGATAAAACCAAAGAAGAGCCGACCACCTTCCGTATAACGCTCTTCCCTCGTGTCCATTCCAGTTGGGCAACGCAGGAAGCATTAACAATCAGGGAGCGGTGAACAATCAAGCAGCCCGTGCCGTGAAAGACGGAACGGGACTGGGGAGCGCCAACGTGCAACAGGAGAACTCACAGACGCAAACTGCATCTGCAAACCCTGTCACGACCACTGTCCAGGTGGACGCTGCTACTTCGACTACCGATTACACTGGTTCAACTGCAGGCCTTCCAGCTGCCTCTGTTCTAGCACCAGGGGTGGGATTTAGTGGTGTTGGCGTGGGATTGCTAATCACTACCCTTCCTGGGCCTGATCCCCTATCAAGTGGGCTGGTACGGCAAGGGACAGATCCCAGGTGCCTCAGGGATGAAGGCACAGGGCATTGTGATGATGGTGCATCTATATTTTCGTCCAGGGTTCCCATTGTTACAATCTCCAGATTTGGTGAAAGTGTGAGAATATAGTAGCATACCTTATGTCTTCCAAGCTTCACATTTCATGTGGACTGGTGCATTGGGTTGAAGATGTTACCAATGACATCATGTTCATGGTTCAAGATAGCATCAGGTGAAGCTAGTTGGGTGCTGTGCCCGTGAGAACATTGGTGCAGTTCATCAGTAGGGATCTAGATATACGGTACCTGCGTACGATACATCAAGAATCATTCAGTGGCATGTTCTCAATTTTATTGGAAATGGGTCGGCTGAGTACAGTACTTCTATTCATAATATCGAAAAGCTCCTTACGACATTTGTTGTGGAGCTTGCGCTGCGACCAAGGGAGACACACGAACAGTCGTCACCAATCACCTGCTTGTGCGACGTCAAGTTCTGAGCACGTCTCTGACAACGAAGGTGCCGCTGCCGATTTACTCGATGTAAGCACGCGACTGGGTCTCGCACATAAACAGCTCATCTGTCCAGCGCTGGGTCGAGTGCTTGACCAATCACAGAGACCCGCAAAGTACTGTACCCGCGCCACTACATCCACTATCGAAAGTTTCACTTCCGCTCCTGTGGCACACACTTCGCGCCTCGACCCCTGCCCCCACCACACACGGTCAGCCAACAGCAGTGTCAACCTACCAGGTTGGCGGACCCTCCAGTCCCTCCCCCACTCCCTCCCCCCCTTCCCCCCCTTTCCCCTCCTTCTCCCTCGCGCCTCGGCCAGCCAGAACCCTACAGAGCATCCGCCTCATACAAGCCATCGATTAGCTGATCTTGTCTTTCTTACTGCATCTTATCCGTTCTTAGGAAAACTGTCCCCCCACCAGTCATGTCATTTTTGGCGGGACGATGTACAACTCACCCAGCAGACATGCCCCCGCCCTTCTCCCGACACATCCCGCGCTCCACCACTTCCCCCACCCTCCGCCCAACCCGTCCTTTTCCACCTTGTCCCCTGGGAACACCACCCACCGCCCTAAGGGAGTTTCACATCCCTCCGAACGAATCTGGTCTGGCCGTATGCCAAGCATACGAGCAATATTGTTTTGTTTCTCGCCTGCCCTACTCCATTTCTTTGCCCTAGAATTCTTGCTCCTAGCGTATCCTGCAGGCAATACCCCCCTTTCCGCCAGCCACTTTCCTCGCAATACAGGCGACGCGCTTGCCAACTCAGCAAACAGTCGCAGCGCAGGAACGAATCGCCGTACGACTTGCCCGTCGTCTCCTCGATTATCTGGCCTCTTGACCTCGAGCCGGCCTACTCCTCGCTCGTTATTGTCATTCATTGACGCCGGAGGTTAGTCCGTGTGTGTCTAGGACGAATCGCCAAACTTGTCAATTTTGAGAACGGAGCAGCCCGTAAGCCTTCCCTCTGACCCGATCCGACCAGCCAGCTAGCTTCCTGCGCCGGCCTGTCTCTGCTCTCCTCGACCCCTCCCTCTCGGTTCAGGCTGGGTCAGCTTATCGTGGTGCTATTAGTAAGCTACAGCAAGCATATTCAGGTAGGTTTGTGAGCAATGGCGCGGGAGTCTCGGCGCAACAAGCGCTGGTCGCAACGCGCCTAGCCTATTCTTAGGCTTCGAAGCTATTATCCCGCGTTGAGGTGGTTACTAGGTTACGGCTGGTAGTTCGCGCATCGCTTGTATGACAAATAAGGTACTTGGAGCTGCTCGTGCGTTGATGATCCGTGTCCGTCGCGTATCAGGTCGTAGTGGCAGTGGCTCGGCCTCTGATTCCGATCAGGCGAATAGTAACGAATCGTCGCACAGCGGCATGCGACAAAGTAGTGCTTTAAAACGAAGCCAAATGGACTCGTACTCGCATCTCCATAGTATACACCACTTAGGTCTCTTTAGATGGCTCATGGTTCACCTCGCCTTTGTGTTACCCGTCGCTGTTCATTTCTTCGCCTGCTCGGCGGCTATGTTTTTCGGCCTACGACTCGCTAGGGAGATTCTTATTCTCCGTCCAGGCTCCAATATAGGCTCCTACAGCTCCGATTTAGCCCGATTCGATATAGTACAAAGTGCCGATCCGCACGCGTTTACAGACCGCTTTCTGATGGCTGAAACTGGCATCTCACCGACAATGTCCAGTTTTGATCAACCGAAACCTGTGGTGAAAGAATTTCACGATCCCTTGGCTTGCGAATGGGACTTGGCCTTACACTGGAACTTCACATCTGACGGACCGTTAAACGTGCCGGCGGGAATTGACGATGAGGATGCCGGAGTGAAAATCGGCCGTCACGAAATCCTCATCCGGCCGAACCCGTCTCCGGATCCACGTCAGCTGGTGGTCAGCCAATCGCTGTTGAGACTGCTGCAGGAGAACGAACGGCTGAGATTGCTCGCGCAGGAAGACGGACGGCTCTCACCGTTCAACCCTCGCCGCGTTATAGTCATCACGCCGACCTACAAACGAACCTTCCAGCAGCTGCTCATGCTAGGGTTGATCAACTCACTAAAACGGGTACAAGCGCCGGTGCTGTGGGTGGTGATTGAAGCGACGAAAACGGAAGAAACCGCACGGCTTATCGCGAAGGCTACTATCGGGGACAGCGGGTCGGACAATCCCGAGGTGGAAATCGCGCACCTGGGCGTGGAGGAGGAAATGCCCGAGGATTGGGACGAGCGGATTCTGCTTGAGCAACGGATGCGAGTCGTGGGACTGAGGTGAGTGTGTGGGGAAGAGTTGGATGCGTGGAGAGGGGGTGGGTGTGTGCGGAGAGGGGTTGGGTGTGCGTGGAAAGGGGGTGGGTGTGCGTGGGGTGGGTGTGCGTGGGGTGGGTGTGCGTGGAAAGGGGGTGGGTGTGCGTGGGGTGGGTGTGCGCGGAGAGCGGATGGGTGTGCGCGGAGAGCGGATGGGTGTGCGCGGAGAGTGGGTGGGTGTGGGCGGAGGGGGGGTGGGTGTGCGCGGAGAGGGGGTGGGTGTGCAGAGAGAGAGGGTGGGTGTACGCCGAGAGCGGATGGGTGTGCGCGGAGAGTGGGTGGGTGTGGGCGGAGAGGGGGTGGGTGTGCGCGGAGAGGGGGTGGGTGTGCGCGGAAAGGGGCTGGGTGTGCGCGGAGAGCGGGTGGGTGTGCCGTCATTTGTTGGGGCATGGGGCTTCACTTAGTATTAGCTTATACGTCTTTCACCACCTTATATTTGACAAATGCTGACCTCCGAACCTCTGCCGAACCTCACAGGTACGTTCGGGAGCACAGGCTCGACGGCATCGTGGTCTTCGCAGACGACGGCTCGGTCTTCTCCCCGAAGTTCCTTGCCGAGGCTCAGCGCGTGCCGTGGTTCGGTGCAGGCTCGGTAGGCGTGCTGCTGCCGGTCGGGTTCACCCCGCTTTTTGGGTCGGAGGAGGCGGCGGAGGAGCAGAGCAGTCAGGCGGAAGGGCTTGGGGGGAGCAGGGGGAAGAGCAAGAGGCGCGGGCATGGGCATGGTAGGCGCATTGCGAGCACTGACTCTAATGAAGGTGATAGTAGCGATGGTGCTGGTGGTGGTGAAAGCGGCATCAGTGGCGGCAATGGCGGTGTTCGGATTGCCGAGGCAGCGGCAGCAGCGGGGATAGAGCTAGCGGTGGGAGGGGAAGGATCAGAGAAGGGGCGCAACGATCAAGAAACAGTGGCGGTGCAGGAAGCTGTGGTGCTTGATGGTTCCGCGAAAAGTGGCATTAACGAGGGTGGAGGGGCGGGAGGGGGAGAGAGAGGAGGGGAGATGGGTGGAGGAAAGCAGGGGGTACAGCAAGGAGAGGAGAAGAAACAGGAGGGGCAAGGAGAATGGCAGACGCAGCAGCAAAAGCTGCAGCAGACGCAGGGGAAGCAGGGAGAGGGAGGGAATGGGGTTGGTGATGTGGATGAGCAAAGTAAGATGCGGTTACCACAACGCAGACTGTTACAAGCCAGCAGCCAATCAGCGTCTTCCAACACGTTGAGGGTTGGCAAGCAGACGCGCTATCAGATGCCCGTGCAGGGCCCTGTGTGCAATAACGAGTCTGTTCTTATCGGATGGCACACGGTGGTACACCACCCAGATCGCCTCCTAGCCGGTTTACCAAGTTACAACTCCCTAGGTTCGGAGGGGGAGCAACGGAGGGGCATGCTATGGCATGGGTATGTCTTAAACTCACGGATATTATGGGCCAGAAAAGAGGAGCTTCCTGATTGGGTGCGAGGCTGGGACGAATGGGGTCCTGAGCTGGAACGAGGCCTGGGAGGAGGCTCGGAAGAAAGTTCGGAAGCAGGCTCGGAAGAAGATCCAGAAGGAGGTTCGGTGGCAGGCTCGGGAGCGGAGGGGCGGCTGTTCGACCTGCTGGGTGCGGTGGTGCGGAACGAGAAAGAGTTGCGGCTGATTGGGCAGTGCGGGCGGCGCGTGCTCGTGTGGTGGTGGAGGGCTGAAGCGCGCCAAGACAGCAAGTTCCCTGCAGAGTGAGTGATAATGTTATTGAAGTGTTGGGCCAGGGGGTCAGCCCCTATGTATTCCTCCATTCATACTCCCCTTCCCACCTCCACCTCCGTCCCCACCTCCACCCCCACCTCCACCTCCGTCCCCACCTCCACCCCCACCTCCACCTCCACCCCCACCCCCACCCCCACCCCCACCCCCACCCCCACCCCCACCCCCACCCCCACCCATGGCCCCATCGCTCCCTATCCATCACCCCTTCCCCCTCTTTCCCACGTCTGCCCATACTGTCTGTACAGCCAACCCCCTGGCCTGACGCCTTTCCTCCTCCCTTCCCACATCCTTTCCCTCATGCTGTCCCACTAGATTATCCTCAGGTGGTTGATTTACCCACATCTGCCTATTACTGCCTCTGTCAAGTCAACTCGTTTGCTCAGACCCCTGCCTCTTTCCCCTCCTTTTTTGACTAATTTTCCACTTCTCTCTCTGCTTCCATAATCATTTGCAGGTGGGTTATATCACCGCAACTACCCATAACTGTCCGTGCCAAGTCAACCCCCTGGCCTGACCCGCTGCCTCCTCCCCCTCCTAGCCCTCCCTCCCCCCCATCCCCGCCTCCCCCGCCAAAAGGCAAAAAGGGTGGTGGGAAGAAGAAAGGTGGAAAGCACAAGAATAATCATTGATAGAGTGCACGCAAGGGGTGTAACATGGTTATCCATAGATTCTTGTTTCTTTTGCATGTTTTAAGGAGGGGAATCTCAGCTTATGAGTTATGCTTTTAGCAGTGCATTTAAACAAGTGCCAGTGCTGGCGTGCTGTCAACATTGGTTGTGTTCTGTTTGCTGCTACAGTAATCTAATTCAATTCATAACTGTGTCAGCTGTCGTTCCAGATTAGTTGAGCATGTTCCTTGAGCATTCATTCTTCATATGGTATGTCGATGTGAATGCCTAAATCTGTTGCCTTGGGAATACTGAAATGCTGAACTTTGTAACATTGCAAAATCATGTCACCTACAGTGATTCTCAGGTGCATCCATCTCTCTACTCATAGCATTGATAAAATCCTTGCGGGTAATTATCCCTATCACATCCGTGGGTTTAGGCACCACACACAAATGCCTCAAACCCAGGTTCCGGAACAGCATATACGCCTTTTGCATTCCCATAGCCTCCATAACAATATATGGGGACCGGTTACTGTAGGGGTGTAGATCCACGAACATCCCCTCCTCTTCGGGGGTAATCTCCAGGTCTTGAACTTGGAGTTCCCCGACCAGGGAGGTTGCGAAGTCTTGCAAAATCTCTGCCCTCTGTTCATCGGGGTAAATCGCATGGTTATCACTCGGAGTGGTGCAATTGGTTGCATGGCGGGGCAATGCGGTACAGAAGGCTTTCTTGGAGTGGAGAAGGGCGAGAAGATGCTTCCGAAGAATGAGCCCGTAGAAGGTTGTTCTTTGAGAGGGGGGAGTTTGAGCATCATGTGGGGTAATTACCCTGCCGCTGTTGCTGATTCGCAGCAACCCATCCCCTGTCCTAACAGATTTACTGCTGCTGCTGCTGCTGCTGCTGCTGGTTGAGTTGGTTGTGGTGGTGGTACTAGCATTGGCAGCATTGATTATGCTGCTGTTGCTGCTGCTTCCGCTGCCGCTGCTGCTGTTGCTGCTAATCACGCTCGTGCTACTGCTGCCGCTACTGCTCCTGCTGCTTGCCCCCTCCCCTGCTCTCTCCTCATCGCCTGCTCCTGCCCTCTCCCTTGTGTCCGTGTCCTGTCTTCCACCAAGGAAATTAATTACAGGGAATGCGTTGTGCTGCGTGGCTCGTAGAGTGTCAATGATTCGCCTCACCGTAGTCACACCTTCCAAAGCCACCAGGCAACCCGCACTAGTAGCACCAGAAGCAGCAGCAACACCAGCACTGATAGCACTGCCAGCAGCGGTGGCAGTACCAGCACCAGCCGACACACCAGCAGCAGCACCAGCAGAACCGGCAGAGAAAACACCAGACGCAGCAGCGCCAACAGCATCGCCAGCAGTTGCGCGCCTGCGTGGGGTTCTAGGGGTGAAGGGGGCTGTGCCACGGGGGCTGAAAGGACTCGTTCTAGGGCTGACAGGGTTGGTGCAACGGGGACTGGCGGGGGTACTAGAGGTGAGCGGGGTTGTGCCACGGGGGCTGAAAGGATTGGTTCTAGGGCTGACAGGGTTGGCAGGGTTGGTGAGGGTTCCAGAAGGAGTGGTGGGGTATCCCTTTTGAGGCGCCTCAGAAGGAGTGGTGGGGGATCTCGGACTGAGGAGAGCAGCAGATGGGGAGGAAACGAGCAAGGGGGTTACCGCAAGGGAGGTAATTGAGGGGGTTACTGCGGGGGTTACCACGAAGGTTACTGTGGGGGATCTTGGGAACGGGGTGGTTTGTTGAAGAGTCATCGAAGGGGAATTGGGTGAGGAGATACCAGCAGCTGCATCAAAACTGCATCCCATCCCTGTCACCAGCTGTTTCTGTTTCTGTTGCTGCTGCTCCTGCTGCTTCTGCTGCTGCTGCTGCTGCTGCTGCTGCTGCTGATGTTTGCTGTCTGCTGTGACTCTGCTGAGGACACCCGCCCCCACCTCCTCACCCTCCTCCCCGTCTTCCTCGAACAAAGTGAAATCCTGATGCGTGCAGTTTTCCGGAAGGTATGGAATCCCTTTCAGGTCAACATGCGAGTCCTCTATATTCCGATTGAACAAATCCCCAACCGATTTCGACACCAGCAGCACCACCATCACCAGCGGCAAAAGTTTCAAGCTGCCCGTGAGCTCCAGCAAGATGACCGAGAGCGAAACGGTCATGCGCATGGAGCCGCCCAAAAAAGACGCGGCGCCGAGGAGCGCGTAGGTGCCTTCCCCCACGCGGTGCGGGCCGAATAGGGTTACCATGACCATGCCGGCCATTCGGCCGTAGGAGGCGCCGCAGAGGATGGAGGGCACGAAGAGACCCGCCGGGACTGCTGTGCCGTATGTGAGTGTGGCGAGAAGAAAGTAGATCGTGAAAGAGAGGAGCAGAGAGGGGTAGCTGGGGGTTGGGGGGGTGGGGAGAGGAGAGCGGGAGGGGGAAAAAGGAGGAGAAAAATACGAATACGGGAGAAGGGTGTGTGAATGTGTGACTGCTGTGCCGTAGGTGAGTGTGGTGAGAAGGAAGCATGTGGTGAAGGAAAGGAGTAGGGAGGAGTAGCTGGGGGTTGGGAGGGCTTTTGAGGCGCCTCAGAAAATTGCGGGATAAGAGACGACTTTTGAGGCGCCTTAGAAGAATGTGGTGAAGGAGTGGAGGAGGGAGGAGTAGCTGGGGGTTGAGGGGGTGGGAAGCGGAGGTAAGTGAGTTTGGGTGTGGGTGTGGGTGTGGGGGTGAGAGAGGAGGGAGTGTGGGTCACATTTGCACCTTCTGTACTGATGTCACAATAACCCCTTTTCTCACATTTCCACTTTTTTCCCACTCACGTGAAAATTTCATCACAATTGCCCCTTTTCTCACATTTCCACCTTTTTCCCACTCACGTGAATATCCCAAACAATCCGGTACCTTTTGCAACTTACATCGCATCAGTACCTTTTGCAACTCACGTCGCATCTGTACCTTTTCCAACTCACGTGAAGATTCCAAACGATCCAGTACGGAACAAATTCCCAATCGCATCGTCGTTGGTTGTAAACACCAGGCTCGCCAGATCATTATACTGCCCGTCCGGGCAGGCAAACGCCTTGTGGTCCCCCGTTCCGACGATGCTCGGGCAGTTGAAAGAACCTTGCGGCAAGTCCCCTCCTTCATCCGGGTCTTGAGGGCAGGGCAGGCAGGAGGCGAGGAAGGGGCCGTAGAAGCGAAGAGCAGAGGTGAGGAGGGAGATGAGGAGGACCTCTAGCACCCTCACCCATGCCCCGTGCCTGGATGGATAGAGGTGGGAGGGAGGAAACACGAGGAAAGGTACTGATGCGTGTGGCTTGAGGTGAGGAGGGGATCGATTCGATTAAGCACTCCGCCCACTATGCCCAGCAGAGCAACCGACACCACCTCCAGCAGCCCAAAGTCGGTTCGGGACTTGTAAAGGGGGGGGGTGTGGTCACTTGTGCATCTCCCTCTTTCTCTCACCTGTGCAGCCTGCTCTTCCTGAAAGCACAGAGCTTCACGTTGAGGTGGTTAGATAACCCGCCTAGCAGCCCTCCGACAATCTCTAGCAGCGCCACCGGCACCACCTCCAGAAGCCCAAAGTCGTGTATGGCTGTCTGCTTGCAAAGACTCTCCCTCTTTCTCTCACCTGTGAAGCTTGCTCTTCCTGAAAGCACACAGCTTCACGTTGAGGTGGTTAAATAACCCGCCGAGCAGCCCTCCGACAATCCCTAGCAGCGCCACCGGCACCACCTCCAGCAGCCCAAAGTCGGTTCGGGACTTGCTTCGGTCGAACAGGATGAAGCCTCGGGACCCGAAGCTGCCGCCGCACCTGTCGCCCTCGCACAGGGAGATGCAGGCTCGGAGCACCATGGCTACGACTGCGTTGGTGAAGAAGATTCGCCAAATGAGGGAGTTCCGCCACCTGTGTGGACAGACCAAGGGGGGATGGGGATGGGGATGGGGGAGAGGACAGCGTGCGTGGGGTGAGGTTGGGAGCACCATGGCCACTACCGCATTGGTGAAGAAGATTCGCCAGATGAGGGAGTTGCGCTACCTGTTTGTGTGTATTGGTAGGGAAGAGGGGAGGATAGGGATGCAGAGGTTAACAGGGGCGAGTTCAAAAGGTGATGCATGCAGGCGAGAAGGCTCGGAGAACCATTTTCCCCGATTGCATTGGTGAAGAAGATTCGCCAGGTGAGGGAGTTGAGCCACCAGTGTGTGTGAGGTGGAAGGGACAAGACGAGAGGATGGGGGTGGAAAGGTTGACAGGGGAGCACCGCCATGTTTACAGCCTCAATCACTCCCAACTGCACTCAATCGCTCCCAATCACTCCCGATGACCAGCAGCAAGCAACCCCCTCTCACCAAGACGTGACTTGCTCGAGGGTGAACAACACACCGCCCACGGGAGCAAGGAACGCAGCAGCCACACCCGAGGCAGCACCACAATCACTACCATGCACCACTCTCAACCACCACCAAACACCACCCATCTCACCAGGAGGTGACTTGCTCGAGGGCGAACAGCGCACCACCCACGGGAGCAAGGAACGCAGCAGCAATTTCCGAGGCAGCACCGCACGTCACCAGGTCTCTCAACCCCCGGTCGCTGTGCACCCACACCAGCGTCCTTAAAGCCCAAATCACTCCCAACCGCCCCCAACCACTCTCAATCACTCTCCGAATCAGCACCAGGCACAACCCCATCTCACCAGGAGGTGACCTGCTCGAGGGCAAAGAGCACACCGCCCACGGGGGAAAGAAACGCAGCAGCCACACCCGAAGCCGCGCCACACGTCACCAAATCTCTTAATCCCCTGTCACTGTGCAACCACACCGGCGTCCTTAAAGCCTTGATTGACCCGTGATTGAAGAACAGTCCCAAGGAGGCGAAGGAGTTAGCTGTCTGGATCCGCGGCTTGCGCGGACGGCTGAGATCGCGGCGGGCGGAGATCCGATGGCTGAGACGGCCCAGGATGCTGGCGATGCAGGCCCCACAGTGCACCAGTGGGCCCTCTTTTCCCACAGCTAGTCCCCCTGCCACTGCTGCTATGCTGCCTAGCGCCTGGCGGGAGATAAGGACGGGGAATGACTGTACATTCTTTAGTCAATCACCCAGGCTGCTGGCGATGCAGGCCCCACAATGCACCAGAGGGCAGAGGTCCCTCCTTGCCCACTGCTAGCCCTCCTGCCACGGCTGTTATGCTGCCTAGCGCCTGAGGGGAAGGAGGGAGGAGAGGGGGAGGAAGGGAAGGGGAACGATTGTACATTCTTCAGTCAATCACCCAGGCTGCTGGAGCTGCATGCCCCACAGTGCACCAGAGGGCCCTCTTTTCCCCCCGCCACGGCTGCTATGCTGCCCAGCGCCTGGTGGGAGGGTGGGGGAGGAAGGGATGCGGGATAATCATACGCCACATCCCACTGTCAAGCACCCAGGATGCTGGCGCTGCAGGCCCCACAGTGCACCAGAGGACCCTCTTTGCCCACCGCTAGCCCTCCTGCCACGGCTGCTATGCTGCCCAGCGCCTGATTGAAGACGGAAAGGTGATGAGAGGCACCGAATTGACTTTTGAGTCGACTCGAAAGGTGATGAGAGGCACCGAATTGACTTTTGAGTCGACTCGAAAGGTGATGAGAGGCAACGAATTGACTTTTGAGTCGACTCGAAAGGTGATGAGAGGCACCGAATTGACTTTTGAGTCGACTCGAAAGGTGATGAGAGGCACCGAATTGACTTTTGAGTCGACTCGAAAGGTGATGAGAGGCACCGAATTGACTTTTGAGTCGACTCGAAAGGTGATGAGAGGCAACGAATTTGTCAGGGGGAATGGACGGAGCACGGCTGTCATATTTGAACGAGGAGGGTATCAGCGGAGACGACAGGGGAGCAGAGGAGAGCAGCAGCACGTATGCCAGAATCTAGACTTGGTTGGGATTATCACCTGAGCTTGTTGCGAGTGGCTACTATCAGGTTGAGAAAATTCAGAAATCACTTCTGAGAATTCTCAAGATGGGGAGCAGTAGCATGGATGGGAGCAGTAGCATGGATGGGAGCAGTAGCATGGATGGGAGCAGTAGCATGGTCACGTGAAGTGAGGGTGTTTTTGAGACGTCTGAAAGGGAGGAGGAGAATTCTCAAAAACACCCTCACTTCTGAGAATTCTCAAGATGGGAGCAGTAGCATGGATGTCAGAAACTATACTTGTTGGGATTATCACCGGAACTTGTTGGGAGGGATTGTCACCTTAACGAGGAGCGTTTTGCCGGAGAGGACAGCAGGCGTGCTGACGCCGTTCAGATGCTCCTTCACCTCGGGAATACCGGAGTCAGCTTTTGAGGCGCCTCAAAAGTCAGATACCCCTTCACCTCGGGAATACCGGAGTCAACTTTTGAGAAGTCTCAAAAGGGGCAGGAGCCATGCCATAATATGCTGGGACCATAAATCACCTTGACAATAAGAGTCTTGGCGGAGAGGACAGCAGGCGTGCTGACGCCATTCAGGTACCCCTTCACCTCGGGAATACCGGATCCCACTGCCTCCATCGCTATCCCGTTACAGAGGCACGTTGAAACGAGTACAAGGCCCAGGTTGGTTGCTGCTAGCACCAGGAAGCCTCCTAGGAAGCTGAAGGAAAGAAGGAAGGAGGAAAGAAGAGGGGGGGAGAACGGGGTGGAAGAAGACCAGACTGAACTTTGCACCCCCAATGGCTTCCACAGAAAGGTTGACGAGGAAGGCGAGGAGGTCGGTGCATGTGCCGATGAGCAGCACGAGGATCATACACAGCAAACAGATAGCCACGTGATAATAGAGAGTTCGTGAGACGTCAAAAACTCTCTATTATCACGTGGCCCATGGTGCATGTGCCGATGAGCAGCACGAGGACCATACACGGCAAACAGAGTCGTAGGAACGAGGAGCACTCTTAGGGGAACAGGAAGAACACACTTCTGGCCTTTGACGTGGTAGAAGACTAGGCCAAACTTTGCACCACCAATTGCATCTACTGCAAGGTTGACCAGAAACGCGAGGAGGCCGGTGCATGTGCCTATGAGCAGCACGAGAAGCTCTGCCCTACTTGTACTCCGTTATACGACAAACAGCACCATGCGTAGAACTCACTTCTGGCCTTTGATATGCGAGAAGACGAGACCGAACTTGGCACCGCCAATGGCTTCCACTGAAATGTTGACGAAAAAAGCGAGGAGGCCGGTGCACATGCCGATGAGCAGCACGAGCAGCCAGCGCAGGGCAGTGTGAAATATTCTGTCGGCTTGCGTCATTGCCTGCCACTGGCCGTGATGCCACTCTGAATCGAGCACCCTGTGAGAGGAGCATGCACAAATAGAGAGAGAGGTACACAGCGAGAGAGAGGGAGGCAGTGAACAAACGGTGTGAGCAGCACGAGCAGCCATCGCCGAGCGGTGTGGAAGAAACGGTCGGCTTGAGTCATTGCCTGCCACTGGCCGTGGTGCCACTCTGCATCGAGAACCCTGAGGGGGGTGGGCAGATGCAAGGAGAGAGGCGCTGAAGAAACAGGAAAGAACGCGTAAACACCATCACCATCACCATCACCATCACCATCACTACCACCATCACCCACATCACCTACTCGTGGTCCAGGCTCTCAAGATTATCGCTTGCTGCCATGATGGCTCACGAATAAGAAGAATCATCCGGCCGGATTCCCTACCTTCTGCACCGCACCAAACCGACCATCACCACCACCACCACCCACATGACCTACTCATAGTCCAGACTCTCGAGGTTGTCACTTGCTGCCATCACACGTCACAAGTGAAGCAAATCATCTGTCTGAATCTACTGACTGCTGAACCGCACCCAACCGACCATCACCACCATTATCAGATAAGAAATCACCTACTCGTAGTCCAGACTCTCGAGGTTGTCACTTGCTGCCGTGACACGTCTCCTGCTGCTCCTCCCCTCGCTCCCACCGCCCCACGCCTTGCCGCCACTGCTCCTCCCACTGCCGCTCTCACCGCCGCCCAATGCACTATCCAACAAAAACGCATCTTCACACGATGTTAACCCCTCTTCCTCCTCCTTTCCCCCCTTAGTAACTCCCTTCTGTCCAAGCAGGCTTTGAGTGTCAACACTAACATTCCCCTCGAAAATGGAGGGAATTTCCAATGTTGATATTCCGGCTTCCAACCCTTCCAGTCCCTCCAGGTCCTCAGGGTGTTTCTGCCAGACTCCTGTCTCGTGAAAACCGTCAGTTTGGATAACTTCAGATTTTGCAGGGTCGTCGTCAAGTTGAAGGAAACCGTCGGAATGAACGGCTAGCCGTCGGGATTCTTCTGACAGAAGTGGCTGCTCGACGTCCTCAGTTATCTCGGCCGCCGATGCTCTGGTAACCATGACGACTATGACTTTCAAGCGGGGCGCGCCGCGCCGCTAACAATGCTTCAGCGCGCGTAAAACGGAAAATGGCGCGCGCTTATAATGCTTCAGCGCGCAGAAACCCCCCACCGCGGAAATCGGCGCGCGCTTCTAATGCTCTAACGCGGGGCTATCCGCGACGGAAAAGGGGCACGCGCGAGAAACGCTTAAACGCGCGGCGATCCGCGATAGGAACGGCCGAGTCCAGCCACGATCGATAAGCCTGTCCGTGAGTCACTGTGTTGGTGGTTGGTTGCCGACCGAGCCACAGGACTGCCGTGTTTCCGTTAGCGCCACTAACAGTGTTCAACACCAAGTTAGCGTTGCCGCTCAGAACGCGCGCAGCCGTTTTCCGTCGCCTTCGGCAGCATCTTGAAGGATTTGATAAACGCACTGAACGACGACGATCAGCGCTCAATCACCCTCTCGCGATTGCTACTAGTAACCTCGCGGACTCGCAAAGAGGCGACGACGAGTCGAGTCGGACGAGAACGTCACGGCGATGATATTGATCGTGGCGGCGCGTCTGGATTCCGGAACTGTGCAGAAAACGTCAAGCCGCGTGGCGACGTTAGCAACTTTGAAATCGTTGTCGTCATTAGTGACGATCGCCGGCCAGACTGACGGACGGACAGTGAACGGCGCGAACGAGAGAGGCGAAGAGTAAGGCGCAGCAGCAAAGCCCCCGGACCCGGACCGGACGGGCTCATCACCATACGTACGGATGACGACGAGGGGATGATGGATCGTCTATCATACGCACGCACCGCACGCGTTCAATCGCTTCGAATTCTCACATCCATTGCATCCTACCCTCCCCAATGCCACCCCCACCATGGTGACGTCACATCATCATCCCCGGCAGCATCCATGGAGCGGAGCGCAGAAATCCAGCCGCCGCAGAGACGCCGCACCTGCCGCTTCTTGGGAATTGTGGACGGGCAGGATATGCTGCCTTGCGCGCTGCGAATGAAGGAAACGGGGAAGAGTCCCTGGGGTGGGGAGACAGCGGAAATTGGTTTCCGCAGTTCCTGGGTCGCGCAAACCTAAGCTTTGCAGATTTCCTGAACTGGCGCAAACAGTTATTTCCGATACCCCTTGTCGCACAATTTTCTGCGCTGGCGGAATCCCTCCCTGCCTGCTTTCCGCAGCCCCGTACGCAACTTCTGGTTCGGGGGGCGGGAGGGGAGGACCTGGGGAAGGAAGCGCCCCGAAAAGACGTGCGACTCGTCTGGATGCAACGGAAGGGGCTTGATTACTGGATGCTGCGCAGAGAGGAGCTAATTAGGAGAGAATTTCCGCGGCGCGGGCTTTGCCCTCGTAAATTGTTTTCATCGTGGTCTATTTTTTGTATACCCCATAGCGACGCGGATCCACCTTCTATCCCGAGCAGTACGCTCTCCCGAGATTTCGCTTCAATTAAGTCGTGTACATGTAAGTGTACGGTCACCACGGAAGTTTTTGGAAGGAACCCAACCGCGAGCGTCCAAAATTGTGGGAACCAAACCAGTGTAGTGCTGGCTTCCAAGCCTACGTGTGGCTTTTCAGCGTTTAGGCTCGACACAGACGGGGCAGGTACCAAAGCCGCAGCGCGAGCATGGTATAACACTAGACACGTCAGAATTTGCAAAATCAAATCCAGCTCAGAATGGAACCAATCGTTGTGTCACACGCTACCATATCGATCTATAACAACTCGAGGTTAAAAAACGAGTGTCGATGAACGCCGACTTCCGTTAATATATAAGATAAAAATGAATGGATAATACAAATAGAACTGTATAAGAATTTACTTCTGCTAAATAATATTGGTATATGTTAATAGCTAGTTTCTTCACAGCTCCAATACATAATGTTTTCTTGTGAACTATTTAAACGAAGTAATGAATACAAAACAAAGTATCATTCTGACTATCAAACAATTAATAAATTATACTATCAAATATCTACAGTTTAGACGTTTTTTGTTACCGAAGTTATACAATGGCAATTGTTTAAATTTCTCTAAGGATACCGTATGGATGTCAAGAAGGTATCTTACAAATGTACACTGCATACATATACATCCTAATGAATATTTGAATTTACAAAGTAGAAAATTATGCATGAACTTACATTACTGTTACGGGTGCAATGAATCGAGGTAGCGAGAATTGCACTAAGGTGTCAAACGAGTACAAAATGTGAGCGAAGGCATGAGCGAACATTTATACGCGAAACATGCAAAACGGTAACGCGGTGCGTGCGAGCTTGCTAGTGCTACGCTGGAGCGAGGCTCGGGCTAGTCCCGAAGCGTAGGCCGATACGGCCATGCCAGCAGTGCGAGGTTTGGCAAAACAGTGCGCGCGAAGTTGGCGAAGTTCCGTTAGCAGTAACGGGCGAACAATCGGCTGTTGCTGTACGCGATGTAGTCTGCCCCGTAAGGAATGCCGAGAAAATTCCTTACACTACCCCCCCCCTTAAGAAGCCCCCTCCGCTACGCGAGTGCGTGTATATCGCGGAATCCCCGGCTCCTCAGGTACACTTGCAGGGCAGGGTGATTTTCGATGTTGCTCAGGGGCACCCAGCTATCTTCAGTTGGCGTGCGGTCTTTCCAGCGAACGAGGAATTCAATCCTCCTGATTCCCGTGGGGTGGCGGATCCGATGGCTCAGAATTTTTTCGGGCTCGATGATCGGCTCTGATGCAGGGCGAGTCATTGATTGTGGCCGGTGACGCGGCAGTTGACTTGTGGTCGGGATGTATGGGCGAAGTAGGCTGACGTGGAACGAAGGGCTGATGTACCAGTCGGTTGGCAACAGTAGGTGCGCGGTGACAGGTGTGATCATGTGACTGATTTGGAATGGTCCACAGTAGCGCGGTCGTAATTTTCGTACGTCGGGTAGTCGCAGATTTTGCGTGTCAAGCAGCACGTAATCTCCAGATTGGTACGTGACAGGACGGCGGTGGCGATCAGCGTTGCGCTTAGCGATGACGTTGGCCTTTTTTATTGCTTCGGCGGCTCTGGCGCGGGCAGCTTGCAGGATTTCGGCGAATTGTTGTGCACGTGGCGTTGGGTTGTTCGGACTCGGCGTCATGGGCACTGTGGGGTTTTGCCCATAGTTCAGGTAGAACGGGGACTGCTGCGTCGTGGCTGATGTGGCGTTGTTGTACGCGAACTCGATCAGTGGCAGCTGCTGCTCCCAGGTCGTGGGGTCGTCGCACGTGGCACGAATCAGCTGCTCCATCGTCTGATTCGTCCGCTCCGTTTGGCCATCGGTCTCGGGGTGGTACGACGAACTGAACTGTAGCCTGGTCCCGAACTGCTCCCAGAGGTTCTTCCAGAAGTTGCTGGTAAACTTCGTGTCCCTGTCGCTGATAATCGCTGCTGGTATCCCGTGTAGGCGAACAACGGCTGCGATGAACAGGCGAGCGGTCTCTTCGGCTGAGATCGACTTGTTGCACACAGCCAAGTGTGCCATCTTCGTCAACCTATCCACGACGACCATCACCGCGTCGTTACCCCCAGGGTTCGAAGGTAACCCTGTGACGAAGTCCATGGTTACTTGCTGCCAGGCGCGTTCGGGCGGTGGGATCGGCTGCAATTGACCCGCCTTCCGCTTCCTTGAACTCTTCATCACCTGACACGTCGGGCACGAGCCCACGTGCTGCTACACGTCGGTCAACAGCTCCGGCCAGTAATAGTACCGCTGCAGTTGCTGTCGCGTTTTTTCTACCCCGAAATGTCCCGAGGTAATCCCGTCGTGTGCCTCCTGCAGTAGCAGCTCCCTCAGTAGTGAGTACGCGGGTACCCAAATGCGGTTGGTGCCTGGTTTTACGTAATAGACTCCTTTTGCTTCTGCCAATTGCTGTGAATTTCCGGTCGTGAAAAATGGGTCGGTGCGGTATCCGTGGGTGAATAGGCCAGTTAAAAGCGGGTTGGTCTGGGCGAGTAGGATGGCATGGAGTTGGGCGGTGGGGCGGGTGAGAGCGTCGGCGATGTTGGATGCACCTTTTTTGTACGTAACGGTGTAGTGAAAATTGGACTCGAGATAGTCCAACCAGCGAATCTGTCGTGGGTTGAGATTCGGTTGGGCGCGAAGATACTGTAGCGAGCGGTGGTCTGTCCGTACCGTCACGTCGGCGCCAGTCAGGTAACATCGCCAAACTTTGAACGCGTGCACGATCGCTAGCATCTCGCGGTCGTGTATCGGGTAGTTACGTTCGGGCGGGTGCAGTTTGCGGGACTCGTACGCGATTGGCTGGAGGCCGTTCCCGAAGTCCTGCAACAGTACTGCTCCCACAGCGATGTCACTTGCGTCGGTGACGAGCTCGAACGGACGGTGGGGATCTGCAATGTGAAGGACGGGCGGGGAGCACAAAATATTTTTGAGGGCCGAGAAGGCAGCTTGCTCTTACTCCCCCCACGTGTACTCAACCCCCTTCCTCAGCAGGTCAGTCAACGGGGCAGCCAGCTTCGCCATGTCGGGGACGAACCGGCGCACGTAGTTGACGAACCCCAGGAAACTCTGCAACTCGGTCAAGTTGGTCGGCGCGTGCCAAGCCTGAATCGTCGCAATTTTCTTCGGGTCTATTTCCACTCCTGCAGCTGAAATAACATGTCCCAAAAACTCCAGGCGGTCCTGTAAAAACTC